ATTGGAACATAAATGCTTATAACGCTGCATTTATTTGGGCCCGAGGCCATTAACTGCTTAACCAGTGGTCATTAAATATAAGGTAAATGAAAGACCAACAAAAATAGGTAGTAATAAAAGTTACTACCAATACCAATTTTTAAAAAAAGTTACTTTATAATAAAATTATTTAAAAATAATATTAAAAAAATGAAATATCACCAATAAATAAATATGAGTTACTCGTTCGATCAGACAGAAATTGCAAAATATATTGTAGAAATAACTTATATAATTTATAAAATATAAAATTAAAAAAATAACTTGTTATTTAGCGGAGTATATATATATATATATATATATATATATATATATATATATATATATATATATTCTCTCTTTTTAATTTCACTTGTATATTTGAAATAGATTATGAGGTTTAATAAATGTTTTTAAAATTATTTGATTTGGAGAATATATAAAAAAAATATCAATATAATATAATAAAAGATGATACGATGTTGTTAACAAAACATAAAGTATTGTGCCTATGGTTAGGTGATGAGTTACAAAAAGTCAGAAGTAGTATTAAATATATAATTCTAAATATGAACCAATAAAACAAAAATTATAAACAATGTTTTGTGTAGCATCACCAACTTTATCTTATATGACCATTATAAAAGAAAAAACATAATTTTTAGAATAATGGCCTCACATCATGTTTGAGTGCATGTGGTGACTTAATCAACTTTGCTTCAACAACTAGATTAATGACAAGTGGTATTGCCACATCAAGAGTTTATTTTATAATTTTTTTTAATGATCATAAACCTTTTTTCATTCTTTAAATTAGAAAAGGTCATTATTTAAGTTAATTCTGGAAAATTATATCATTTATTCAAATTATGGAAATCGAATCACATAATATTTTTATATATAAAATAACTTATAAGTCAAATCGTGTATTATTATTATTATTATTTTACGTATAGGTCATGCTCACAAACACATATCCCTCTTTTCTTTTAATTTTTTGAAGATAAACACAAAATTATTGTATGATTGATTGATTTCAACTCTAACCATTAAATTCCCATAAACATGACTTTGTGTTTCATGCTTTTTAGCCTAATCAAGGTGCATCATGTTTCTTCTTCAAGGTTCAATTTTTTACTTGTAAAATCCTTAAAATCAATTTCACTTGCTTTATAATATATTAAACATGTGAGAAATACGATAGATAGAAATATTGTTTGGTTGAAAAAAAAATTAATGGAAGAAATATTGTTTTAATGAAAATATAAAATAAGAAATAGTTTTTTTAGAGTTATTTAGTTTTTAAAAAATATATTATTTATTAATATTAAATTTGTTAGTTCGAAATCTTTATATATATTTAAAAATCTTTTAATATAATAAATAGATAAATAATTAACAAATTTACATATATTAAATTTTTAGTTTAAACATGACAAATATGATTTTTGTATTTAAAACATAAAATTAGTATAAATTTATGTTTTATTTTATTCTTAATATCACAACATATAACATTATGTAATTTAAATTTTAAAAACATTTTATTAAAAGATTCGATCTCATTCACTAACTATTGAAGCATTAAACTTTAAATTTGTGTTTTCATTTATTGAGTCAAATTCTACGAAGATTATTGTGTTTTTGGATGACAATCATTGTAGGGTTGTTCTGTCCACGTTATTACTATTCATCATTTATAACATCTAATGAGCAACATCATATCTTCCATGACACAAAATTCTTCTGATTCTTCTCTTTCACAATCATGCGGAAGAGGAAGCTTCTTTAAACACATTTACTTATCCCTTAATTAGATAAATTACAAAAATTAAAAATTTATACCTACCATTTAATTTGTCCACACTAACAAATTCTATAAAAATCTGAAATTTAAAGTTTAATTAAATACCTATCAAGTTATAAACCAAGCGTCTCTAAATTTATACATAAACGTGTCTTTATCATAATTTAATCCTATAAAATTTTTACCATAGCAATAATTTTGTTCATCTTGATTTTTTTTTTTAAATAATATATTTATCATAGGAACGCTAAACGGTAATAATTACACGACAATAAAAGTATTTGAATGGTTTTGCGGAAATTCAGGTTCCAGTTTAAAAAACATGTGCTATTTTAGATAGGTCAGATTTATGTTATAGGGTCAGACTGTGGGGTGTAGGCTAGGCCGGTACGTATGCCGCTATTCTTGCAATTCTCAATCAGCCGAAATTTTTGTTTCTCGTCAAACGCAACATTGCGACCGTTTCTGCCACACACACACACACACAACAACAACGAACTCTCCGTCACTTGTCACTTGTCACTATTACTCATCCCCCACTTAGCAATTCACATTTTCCAAATGCCACAAAACAAGTACTTGCTGCTCGTTATTATGCACAAATTTCAATATCTTTCATTAATGAATATCAATTTTTTAACAAATTCAAATAATTAGTTTCATAGATTTGTTATAATATATTTTTTTATCATAATTTAAAGTATAATAAGTGACTTGTATAGTTATATAAAATACTGTGCTCAAATTTAACGAATTGAATGAATGAAAAAAAATAATGGGAGATGTATTAAAGTTTAACGAAACTTGCTATAGAAAAATATTTTTTTGCTATATTTAAAAACTAAATATAGATAAATATTGTGTGTAACACGAACTTTTGTTTATTGTTTATTTTTATGATATTAGTAAGACCAATTATAATGTGTTGAGATATTATTCTTTAAAAATATATTGATGGATTGAGAAAAAAAGTATATAAAATATTATTGATCTCAATTTTTAAGCTAAGTAAGATTTATGAGTAGATTGAATGTAAGTGGAATAAAACTCTATATTTAATCTCATAATAAATATCAGTGTTCGGTCTAAGAAGGAAAATATTTCAACCTCATGTCTATTATGATATCATTAAAATTCATTATTACATTTTAAATATTGTCTAGTTTGTCACACTTTTATCTTAAAAATGTTGAAAGGGCAGAAAAAAATACAAATAAAACTTGATTTTTGACTGTTATCCTTATAAGTGTTAAAATTGCTAATAAAACACAAATAAAACTTGATTACTAAGAGCTAGATAATTATTGTTCTTAAATACTTATTTGTGATATATTGTGCAAGTCCCAAAAAATATAACTTGAACTTTTTAAATTTTCTGAGGAACTTAAAATTTAGCAAGTAACTTTTAAAAGATTATATAAACTCAAGAAAAAAAAAAAGGAAAGAAGACAAAATAAGTAAAATGTGTGTTTTTTATAAGTGTGGGGTGATATATTTATAAGTGTAGTATGAGTAAGATACTCATTTACGCATAATAGTTCACATATAATGTTTAGAACGATTTGTACAACCCTTGCACCTGAAATCTAACAAAGGTCACATGCCACATGTTCTGTCAGTGAGTGACGCCTAGAAACTTAGAGGAAGCATGTTGTTGCGGCTGAATCAATCTTTATGGAAGGTGAATCATAATCATAATCTTATTTTTAAATTTTACAATATCTTTATTTTTCTATCATAAAACGGCGTTTTAATGAATTAAAAAAGAAAAATATATAAAAATTATTATTAACCAACAAATAATTAATTGAAAATATTATAAATGATGAGATTGATAAAATATTATTTTATTAATTTTAAATATATATATATATATTATTTTAAAAAAATTATTTAATTATTTATTGTTATAATAATTTAAAAAATTGAATCATAATTAATTATATCTTATTTATTATTCCTTTTTTTTCGTACAAGAGAGAAAAAAAATATTTTTTACTTTTTAAATATTTTGATTTTTACACTCTCTACAAATTAATCCTCTTTCTCTGTCTTCGCTGGAATCAAAATATAGCGTGTAAAGTGTAGACTTTGAAGTATGAATTTAGTCAAATATGATACGGAAAGAAAAATGGGGGAAGATGGATATGTAGTGATTACGTACAATTATTCATAAAACGCATATTATCACGTGTTTTAAAGAATATTTTGATTAATGGTATACTTACTTCTCTATAGATACTTTTTCAGTCTCAAAATAATTGTTTTAACAAAATTTGTCCCTGTAGTAAGACTAACTGCCAGTATTGCTCTTATTGTTTATATTTGAGAGTAAATTTCATTGTAAAAGTTCTGACATAATTAATGCAAAAGAAATAAAAGTTAATATATAAAGGTAGGACATTATAAGAATAAAAGAAATAAAAAAATAATATATGATACCATTTAATTTATTATAACTAAAAATAATATAAAAAAAAATTATATAGAAAAACACTTTGTTAATAATTGAATCTCAAACAGAAATATCAATTTGTGCAAATATTAAATGCATCTAATATTGATGGGTCCGTATGCTTTTGGTGTGACTTGTCTAAGACTAAGAGTAATTTTTTGTTTTGTTTTATATTTTGTGTTAAAATTAACAAAGTGGGACGTTACAATATAGATAAATGCACAAGAGTCATGAATAATTTAAAATATTTTGATTTATATGAAGGCACGGAAAAATTACTTACAAAAAAAGAGGAGTTAATTTTAACTAAATCATTGCAGATAGATAATTAGTACTGTATTTGTAATTCCTCCGACAATGTTATTCCTCACATGATATGCTTTAAAGTTAGAATATATTTATAATGAAAATTATGTGAATAAAATATTTGACTGGTTGCTCGGTGCGGCAAACGTATTCCAATCAGACTATTATTGCAACAGCATTAAGTACATCCGTGTGACCACGTGCTCCAATTCCTCAACTGCTATCATCGTAGCAAAACACAAAAGATAAAGAAAATTCTGTCACTTCCATTTTTTTATACTTTTCTTTATCACCACGTGTTCAAATTCTCCTTTTCTTCTCTTTCATCCCATTTTCTTCTTCTATTTTACGCCCCTCCTCTGTTCTTCGCTCTCTCCACTCTGTTTCCACTTAAAAAATATAAATAAACAGAGTATGAAATTCCGTTATTCGATCCTGCTTCTGCCAATCCTCCTCGCAGTCTTGGCGGTGGTTTCAGTCGCGGAGACCACTCCCTCCGCCTACGACCGCGTGTTGTTTCCTGACCGGCGGTGCCAGAGGATGGTGTCGGAGAACAGCACACGGCGCGGCCCGACGGCGGCGGCAGAGGCGGAGGCGGAGTGTGAGGTGTGGAGCGAGGCGTGTTCGAAGGCGGTGCTGAGCTTGGCGCGGCGGTTGGAGATGGCGGAGTGGCTGAGAGGGATTCGGCGGAAGATCCACGCGAATCCTGAGTTGGCGTTTGAGGAAATCGAGACGAGTCGTTTGGTGAGAGAGGAGTTGGATCTGTTGGAAGTTAGTTATCGGTACCCTCTCGCGAAGACCGGTATTCGAGCCTGGATCGGCACCGGTGGTCCGCCTTTTGTTGCCATCAGAGCTGACATGGACGCACTTCCCATCCAGGTTTCCTACTTCTCCCTCTCTTCCTTCCACCATCCACTACTTTTTATTCTTCCAATTTCTCCTTATGTCTTCTTGAAAACCTAAAACCAAAACCAATACACTAAAAACCACCAATATAATATAATATTAGATTCAAGGTGCACCCTCTTATTGGACTTCCTTCTCCTTACTAGCCTAGAAAGATTTATCCTATCCTAATGCTATTTTTTCTTAATTTTTGCATTAATTTTTAAAAAATATAAGAAAATCATATGTTCTTTTTTTTTCATATTTTTAAATAATATGATAAAAACTTATGTTAAAATATTTTTATAAATTATAATAAAATTATTATTTTTTCTATCTCGATACAATGTATTTTGTAAGATTTTTGATTTCTCTTTATGAGAGATATATTAATGATAAAACTTTAAATATATCATAAATGTCAGATATATAGTACTATTTGTCTGATATAAGATTATCTGATATGAGAATAATAATAAAAAGTTATTTTTTAAATGTATTATTATTTTTTTTACATAAATTAATACAAAATGTACTTTATTATGTACTTATTATTTGTTTGAAAGAAAAAGGAAAAAGATTATTTTCTTAGGATATTGGAAAAAAAGGTATGAGTTTCTTGATGGCTTTTAATTCACTACTTTTACTCTACTTTCTACCACTGACCATTATGTACTTTTTATGCATTCATTAGTGAGAAAAAGAGCTTAATTTTACACTATTATTCACTACTTTTACCCTACTTTACTACATTGACTATTGATGTTCTTTCTATGCATTCATTATTCATTAATAAGAACAAACACTTAATTTTTTACACTTACGGAGCTCTTAGCGATAATGAATACCCTTTAATAGTCATTACCAAGTACCAAACTATGTTTGAAGTAGTTAATTAATAGAAATTTTTTGTCATAAAACAAAATTCCATCTCATTACTACTTGGGATTCGTTGTAGGAAGCTGTGGAGTGGGAGCACAAGTCTAAAGTTGCCGGCAAAATGCATGCTTGTGGGCACGACGCACATGTGGCTATGCTTATTGGCGCTGCCAAGATCTTGAAAACTCGAGAGCATTTATTAAAGGTTTGTTCTTCCCTTGTATCTTACTAGTATCCAACATCATATTTAACTATGTCATAATTAATTTTGGACACTTTCTCTATCATGCACGTTCGTTAATCAACCATAACGAGACATAATTAACACCAACACCTCGTACTTACATTTAAGAATTTGTATTTATATTTACATAAACTTTATTTTTGTCAAGTTTAGCCAGAAAACTTATATAATTGAACTTAATTACAAGGTCATGGAATCTGTGAAATTTGACGGTGTATTTACTTTCTTCTTTAGATTTCATTGCCCAATTAGAAGTTATATCTTTCGGTCCTTCCCAATTTTCAACACTATTGAATTACGGGAAGAAATAGAAGTTACTTTCACACATCATATATATGTTTACTATATTTTAATCATATATATAATAAATAAGGGAGAGAGAGGATTGAATTCCTTACCAAAAACACCACCGTGCCTCCTTATAGTGGAATAACTTTATATGGGACGACATTTCGGCCAAAAAGTGAAGTTGGTTACTCCTTTGCCTCTTTAACAATCCCTTGCACTTTTCTGTCGAAGACACAATCTTTTAATTCTGCGTGGGTTAAGATATATTGCTGCTATCAGTTAATTTCTCCCGCAAGGACAGACAGTGGAAAAGTTTGATATTAAAGACTCAAATGGTGGACCATTTAAACTTATATCTTGAAGAAAGAGGTCCACTTTTTGTTTTTATTTGATGCCTTAAAAAAAAACCTCGAATTTCACAAAATTTCTTTCATTTTCTTTTTCCTTTTCTCCCTCTCTCAAAAATCTGAAAATGTCAACATTTTTAACGTGTCTTCCCACTCTTTGAGCAAATTGACATGATTTTTTACATTTGTAATGTGTATCTAAACACGCACAAATATTGTTTGATTTTACTTGTAGATTCAAAATTAACTTAAAGCATTTCTACATATTTTGATTGGTTCTGATATTTCTTCCAAAATTTAACTTGACTTGCGCTCCGTCCAACCATTTATCTCTTTTACTTTTCATATCTAGATTTCTAAAAACCTGAGACAAGGTGGGTTGTCTGGCCAGGTTTGACAACTAAATGTGGGTGTCTTCTCTTCTTCAGTCATAGATTTGGCCCTCTCCCAGAATCTATTCAAAATTATGGTGACATTGTTGTTTTTAACTTGCCCTTTCATATTACTTATAAAATTATACACACATATTGTTGTTTTCTAAATTATTTTATTTAACGTGTTAAATAGGTTAGATTATGAGTTGCGTTTTTAGAAAGTTTCAAACTCGTTTTTATGTGCTTGCTACAACTTTTTTCATATGTAGTACATTATCGACCACAAGTTTTCCAATTAACCCAGTTTTTTTTACCTAGTGGTTCCATATACTATGATATATGTAGACGGGCCATGTTATAGAGAAAAAAAAAAAAAGCAACATGATTTTGTTTTTCTTAATATATAAATATCTAATCTTTCCTGAATAATAATGAAAGTGGAACATTAGTTAACTCACATAATTAAGCTTATATATTTTCCTTAACGATTTGATTTGATTATTTGATCTCTTATTTTTGGACATTTATGTTTGCTTTAATTTAGAATATATTTGATCATATATAAAATTGGTTTAAAAAAAAAAATGAGATGGGAAAGAAGGATGAGTTGGGTAATCCTCTGCGGGCCAGTTTCCACCCAATTGTCACGATCATGATTGGATATAACATTTTCATTTCGGATGAAAATATGGGTACAGATTTTGGGATGGGTTGAAAGAACAAATTCTGGGTAATTCCTAACTTCAAGACTTCGTAACATTTATAATTTTTAAAAAATATATCAAATTATAAATATTTACTTTATATAATATATATATATATATATATATATATATAGATAGATAGATACAAAATTAAATATATGAATCCATTCACTGAACCACACTAAATAAATATAGTAAATTCATTCATTGCCTGTTAAATGTATCATGGAATCATAACTAAACTTATATAATAGACTAGATAAGTAGTAAAAAAATATATTAAATACGAGTATTTAAAACTAATATTTATTGTATATTTCGTCATTGAATTGTGTTATAATTCTATTTTTTTGTTACAATTTATATTTGACAAATTAATTCTTTTCATATTTATATAATTCTTAGTAGTTATTTAATTTAAAATAAGCGATAAGATTTTGTTATCACATGATATTTTGTCTAAATCATATATAAATTAGGTCATCTTCAAAACCTATACATCATCTCTCATTAAAATAAAACTATCATTTTTCATTTAACTAAAATTCTGCCACAAAAAATTACACACAAAGTAAGTGGAACAAAGTTTTAAATAAATATTAAATTTAATTACTGAATTTTAATTGAGTCACACACTTATCTTCAAGATATAAAAACAATTTTAATGTTACTTTTAATTTATATATATAATATGTTACTTTCACATGACTTTGTCGAAAATTGTTTAAAAAAAAATAAAAGATGGAAATAAATTAAAACGTAACTAAAATAAGAGGTATTTTAAATAGCCTTCTTATCAAATGAATTATTTTTTAAAATTGTTCTTATAACTGTAAACAAACATAAATTAAATAGTGATTCTAAAGTTTGTTTTGATGTTAATGAAACTGAACATATTCTTCAATAAAAAATATGGGTTGACAACTGGTATAATGAGATAATTATTGTGGATTGTGACGTGTTCCTTTTCCATAACTGTATCATAGTACTTTTACTCAAGGAAAATTACTGTGCTGGTAAAAGCGTGGTACCTGAAAATTAGCGTTTCAGTAAAAAGCATGAGCCCTTCTGAAGAGACATCTAAACTTGGGATACTGACCATAAACTTTAGGGTAGCGACAGGTGCTAACCTATTCGTAGCAATTCACATCCTGAGTGTAGGGACTATTTATTCAGATCCCTTTCACATACAAACAAAAGAAAAAAGATATCAGAGAAAAATGTCTTTAAAATGATGGTAATGTACGGGAAATTACATATGGAAGTTGATTGTGAGGTGATGGGAAAGTTGAATTTAGAAGGCAAGAGTAGATTTTGATGTCATTCCAACTCAAGTAGTGAAACTTTCTTTTGGTGTAACCTAAAATCAATACCGTACTTAATAAATACTCGTACGTTGTCCATTGACTCTTCTTCTTGTACACTGACTTATTGAAGAGAAGTAACGTTTTTTCTTTTATTGGATGTAGTATCATTATTATCTTGAATCCTCAACCATTTTAAGACCCTGCATAATGATTCCATTTTTAATGAAAACAGACATAATGCATGATGAGCTTGATAAGTTAGATGATTGGGATTAAGAGTTCAACTTTTCATAAACCCAATTAACCTGGTTAGCCTGGATATTAACAAGAACAATGTTTTATGACTACATCCTATGCAAAATAGACATGAAAACAAAGAATGACTACCAGAATCGCTAATTATCTCGCGACTGAACTCTTGTTCTGTTCATCACAGGGAACTGTAATTTTGATATTCCAGCCAGCAGAGGAAGCTGGTAATGGAGCAAAACGAATGATGCAAGATGGGGCTTTAGAGGATGTGGAGGCAATCTTTGCAGTTCATGTATCCCATGAACATCCCACTGGTATAATTGGGTCGCGGCCTGGACCTCTCCTTGCTGGTTGTGGGTTTTTCAGAGCTGTCATTAGTGGCAAAAAGGGTTTTGCCGCCAATCCTCATCGTTCTGTTGATCCAGTTTTGGCTGCTTCAGCTTCTGTTATCAGCCTACAGGGTATTGTTTCCCGCGAATCAAATCCTCTAGATTCTCAGGTTTTGTCTCGTACCATTATCACACTTCTTTTCCTTTCTCAACCTTTGCTTCTGTGTCTTTTTGTATTCCTTCCTAACTAAAAGTACAATTCCAGGTTGTATCTGTAACTTTGCTTAATGGAGGCAACAATCTTGACATGATACCAGACACGGTGGTCCTCGGTGGGACTTTCAGAGCTTTCTCTAACACCAGCTTTTACCAGCTACGGGAAAGAATAGAACAGGTTAGCTAGTACCTCATTTTTATAAGGTTTAATTGCTCTTTTAATCTTCTAATCGTTTCTTGAATTTGATTCTTGAAGTTGATCCTTGTCTTATTCTATTTTAATGGTATAATTACAGTCAATCTGTTAACTTGACATGTAAAACTGCAATTGTGCGAGTAAAAATGGCGGAGTTACACAAAAAGACTGAATGAGTCTAACTTGAATGCTGTTGTTTTCCCAAACAGGTTATTGTTGAACAAGCAAGTGTGTATAGATGTTCAGCAGAAGTTGACTTCTTTGAAAACGAGTACACTATTTATCCTCCCACAGTGAATGATGATCGAATGTATGAGCATGTGAAGAAGGTGTCCATAGATTTGCTGGGTCAGAAGAATTTCAGGGTAGTTCCACCTATGATGGGTGCTGAAGATTTCTCTTTCTACTCCGAGGTGGTTCCCTCAGCTTTCTTCTACATAGGGATAAAGAATGAAACACTAGGGTCTACTCATACGGGACACTCCCCATATTTCATGATTGATGAAGACGTTCTACCAATAGGTGCTGCTGCTCATGCTACCATTGCAGAGAGGTACCTCATTGAACATGGCTCATGAGATTTCATCCCTACTCTTGTTGTGACATCACACACTGTCTTCTCAACTTCGTACAAAATTGGTACACAAGTTCATCACCCTCCTCATGTTTCTTCGAGGAGTAAATTCTCACTTTAGTTCATGATATTGTAAGTTTTTATCACTTTAGTTTAAGCTTATAAAATCTTTACTTTATTCTCTGCCTTTATATAGTGTTTTTTTTTTTTTTAGTTTTTTTACATTTAAACATTTCTTTTTTCTTTAATGTCAATACAACATATTGGAAAAACTAAAGTAAACGACATTTGACAAAGTCATAAGACTAGATTATATATTTTGCGAAATCAAGGGTTAAAAGACCAAACATTTACAATTGAAACTAAAATAAAAGTTTACTGTTTCTACTGTAGAGATCAAATTATGTTTTTCTCTTCTCATAGAGACTAGACTCGTAAAAGATAAGGAAAACGCTAAAATGTGTTCGAATGTGCTTTAAAAATTATTTATCTGTCGGGGGACAAAGCATCAAAGAGAGGATACTAATAAAATTATAACTTAAATATTTTAGTTGAAAGATTTTTAACGAAAACAATCATTTAATAGCACTTATTATTATTATTATTATTAGTATTATTATTATTATTATTACTATTATTATTATTACTATTATTATTATTATTATTATTATTATTATTATTATTATTATTATTATTATTATTAGATGGCTTTTACTAGCTAATGTAACTTGCCCTAAATATAAAATGGGGTAAACGACTGAAATTTGGCAATATTTTGCACTTTTCACTAGCCAATTTGATAAAAATATCCAAGGTCGTAAGAATCATGTCGATAACTCAATTGATAAAAGCATGAGAGATTTACCAAAGAACTAGTTTTAATAAAATATTATCATTTTTATTTTTAAATATAATAATATGTTATATGAAATAGTATAAATAAAAAAGATGATACATATAAATTTATAAAATAAAAATTTAAACTTCACTTAAAAATTTATTAGTCATAACATATAATAAAAATAAGTTATATATGAAAGCAAACAACTTTAATATATCATATTTAAATTTAACAATTATAAATAAGTTATATAAGTCTTTTAAAAATAAGCTAACTAAAAAAAATACATGTTTTTAGAACTTCTTGTTTTTAATTCACGGCTGACTTTTATCCCAGATAAAATGAAATCTAATTTTAAGAAAACTTTGATGTAAATACTAGATTGATTTTCGGTTCTAAAAACATGACAAATAAGTAATATGATAGATTCCTTCTTATTGCACCATAGGGTCTCATCTTGAAAAAAATAAATAAAAGAAATGAGTGAATTATCCTTAATTATTTTTTTAAACCTCAGTTGCATCTCACACCAAATTATAACCATTGCGGAAAGGTTCATGTTACCGGCATCTCTCTCATTTTTTTTTTTCCAATACCCAAATTAGTAAGCATGAAGAGAAGTGTTTCATCCGGAAAGCTTCATGTTCGTTTTTGGTACAAGCTTCATGTTCTTTGCATCCCTTTATAAGCTTAAATTTCAAAATTAATACATCCCTTTTTTCCAATTTTTAAATCACTACGACAAATCCTCACACTGACAAGGTTATATTAGTCCTGAAGTTCATAATAAATATGATAATGATTGTCACGAAGCCAAAGCCAAGAATTGTGTGAATTCGAGTAAAATTATATATGTTTCAAACTCTGACACAAGGAAGGAGCCACCTGGACGTGCTATTGTGGGATCTAAAAGGAGATGCATAGAACATGAATCTTTGTGGAGTGCATTTTGCAAATTATTTCGAAACAACACTTCAAAATAATTTTGGATACGCATTTATTTGCGAGATACACTTTGATTTCAGTACCGACAGAATTCCAGTACCAAATATTCAGTAGGTGCATAATGCTCACGCAAAGTTACAACACCAAAAACAGCGTCCAAGTCTTTTTCTATTAGATCCTTAAATAAACAAATCAAACGAGGCCAAAATCTTTTACACGAATGTGTTTCTCTTTGCACAAACCTCTAAAGTCATTATTCATAAACAATTTACAACTGACAAAAATCCAGCTTGACATGCTGGTTTTAGAGAATATCATCACGTCTCTCCATCGACAATCCCTTGCATAATTGGAGAATCTCACCTCCTCTCGCCACACAAACATCTGGCAGCTTGCAGAGCAGAATATGTGAGGATAATATCCGCACCGGCCCTTCGGAGGCACATCAATGACTCCATCATAACCTTTTCTTCGTCTATCATTTTGAGTGCCCCAGCAGCCTTTATCATTGCATATTCGCCAGAAACCTGTTCCGTGAATTAAGAATTATAATGAAAAAGGGTGGTGAAAATGGTAATTCAAACTAATCAGAACTACATATTTTCACTCATATAAAAAGTATGCAGTGGTTTCCTTTTATTCCCCCAGCTTTAAAGGCATCATGAATTTAGGATATCACTATCAAGAATCATCGCATCTGTTATATCTTTGATGAACAATATTCATTTGCTGTTGCACTAGGTTCCATTCTTCACCAACTGCTTTTTGTATTTTCCTTTTTTCATACATCTTCCACTTGCTAAACAAAGAACCAGACCTCACAGAGGGGTCAGGGAAGAGCAAGTAAAAGTTGGACAATCGTTTCAGAACACGTAGACTGAAAGTAATTCATAATTACTAAAAGTGTTGGAACATAAATTACTAAAAAACTAGCGTATCGAACAAATTTCTTCTTCAACACTCTTTTTTCGACATTTCATTTGTTGACAGTTAAAAATTTAATTGACAGAGGATTTCATATTTTCAAATTGCCAGAATTAATGGCCACAAATATAATGAATGTTATAGAAATAAATTTCCATCCAATCATTTTTTAGAAGTATCGTATTAGAATTTGATGCCATGTAATAGCATACGGCCTCAGTCAATGATTGTTAAAGCACCCATACACTTGTGCCTCAACCTGATATCAAATTAAAGTTGTGATATTTGTCAACTATTTAGTCTACTATCTTTCGCAGAAAGCTTAATGAAGAACTCATGGATAAAATTTATTGAACATTTGATCAACTTTTAATCAGAAATATTTTGCTTAGTGCTAGAATGGCCAAAGAAAAGAACCTGGTATGCTGCAATTGGCAAAGGAGAATTATCCCTGAGCAGCCTTATGATATCCAAATACGGAAGACCAGGCTTCACCTGCATATCCATTTGTTCATGTTTGTAAAACAAAAGAAGTATAGATAAAAGCGAGCAAAAATCGTGCATGATTGCGTGCACACAAAAAAAGTGAACCAACCAAGAGAATGTCAGCTCCTTCAGATTCATCCTCCCGCATCTCAGTCAGAGCTTCTCTGTAATTAGCTGGGTCCATCTGATAACTTTTGTTCAGCCAGGTCATATTTATGAGCAAACCAAGAACCAATAATGAAACATTGATTTCACAGAACAGTAAGTTCAATTTCAAGATGATACATACGTTTTCTTGTCTCCGAACCGGGGGTTGGAGTCTAGTGCCTCTCTAAATGGACCATAAAAAGAACTTGCATACCTGTTGGCAACAGATAAATCGCATTGTTTCAGACCAAATCATACACCAACATAAAAAAGTGGTGGATGAAGCTAATAACAACATCTACCAATCCATCTAGTTAAGTATAATTTATATTCTTATAGAATTGTTTGTCGATGAATAAACTCAGTACGAGGTAACAATCAGCAAAAATAGTGGGATAGCGCATGGCAGGAAGAAGATGCATATCTAAATGATTTGGATGCTCATATCTATGGCAGTCAGGATGATAAAATTGCTTATAAGTTGGATGAGAAAGAAACCAACTTGTTCACAATGGAACTGTTTCACATAAAAAAATGAACCAGTATGCGACACAATTTGGATCTCTTAATATCCTCTGCTATAAAATAGATGTCAATCGATACTAAACTCTCGATTCCCCATAAACTCGTTCCTCTAAGTAATAACAGATCAATGAAATATAATACAGCATCCCCTTGGTTATTTTGAGTGTCAATTTTCAAATGATCTTTTTTATTTTCATTGGAGTTATTTCTAAATTTTGGATGCATGTATACATCTCCATACCTGACTAAGTCTTCAATAATTTCCAATGCAAGCTTGTATAAACAAAAAATGAGGTAAGTAAAAGAAATGGCAATAAAAATTACTTTGCTGTATAGGACATTATAGAAACATGCTGAAAGCCTTCAGCATCAAGAGCTGCACGCAGTGCTCCTACCCGACCATCCATCATATCACTAGGACTGACAACATCTGCTCCAGCTTGGGCCTTTTAGCAAATTAAGAAGAAAAGAGACAAAAATAATGTTAGTGATGGCATGGAGAAATGTAGCAAGGAAACCTTTGAGATTGGGAGCATAAAAGAATATTGTGATTTTCTCAGTATAACCATTAATATCCCTAAATCTTGGGAAAAAGTTTACTCGCTATAAAGCATTGGTTCGTCCCTCTTTTATCTTATTCTTTTAATCTGGGAGTTGAGACACTACCATGCTGAATCCATTATTTACATGAATCAAAGTACATCCATAAACGAAACTTACTTAAAAGTAAATGAAAATTTCAAGGCCTTACTGGAGGTAATCAATGTGCTCAGGAATTCTGAGAAAAATAATTGGTAACAGCTTACAGATGAAAAAAGTACATAGAAGACACAGTCATATTACCTGGGTAACAGCTTGTTTACATAGCTGATGAACTGTTTCATCATTCATAATAACTCCTACAGGATATCAAGGATATATAATGTAAATAATGAAGAAGGATCAATTATTAGAAAGCAGAATAGCTCCTACTCTTTTACCAACTATAGTTGATCCAAGGAAACAAATAGAGCCACACAGACTACATATTAAATTGATGTGTTGTTAAGGAAAGAATATTTTTCTTCTTGAATAATAATACCATTGGAATAAAGTAAAAACAAACTAAACATATTCAAAAAGTACCAAAGAAGAAGTTACTAATGGCAAAGGGGAGAATCCCAATTCCTTTCCAGCCTCATTCATCCATAGTAAGGGAAAAAACCACGAGTCTGGATACCACAAGATCAGAAATGGTCATTCATTGCAGAATGAAATGGACTAACGCTCATTTTCTTACCTTGCATTTTGTATATAAGTCCATGTTGGATTAGCCTAACTCGTTGATTGATGTATATTTTCAATAAATGTACTTATCATTCTGTGCGACTCCATTCTTAATTCTATCCGCATTTCAATTCCAGATAATTTTATTTTTTGATCCAAAAGTACGTTAAGGTTAGCTTATAAGTAGGATTAGATCCCTTGCATAAAACTTAGGGTACCCATATGATGGTGATTCAAATGCCAGTAGAAACCTATTTGCTTCTTGTAAATCTGTCCCAGTTATCCAATAAAGGTATGGTTGGGACATGGAAGAAATGCATCACCAGGAGTCAGAAAATGGGCTTTAGGCAGACATGCGAGTTGACCCAAGAGATAAGTGTTGGATGCAATTTGCTGGAGTAGATGCCTACAACTAGGTTAACCAGAATGAGAAGTATTTTCAGTTGAAGGGGATTCGGTTGGAGAGAGAGGATACAGGCAATTGTGACAGCAATGGAGGAATGTGCTTTGTCGAGGTTTAAATGGGTGGAGTTTGGCACGAAGATCCTAATCTGGTCAATGTTAAGGTGTGTTGTCGTTAAGAGCAATCCATGATCCAATATCCTTACAAAATCTTGCTAGGTTTGCAACAAGAGTTAAAAGTGTAATAGTGGGAGCAATATGATACTTTTGCAGGACAACTTTTCATCATAAAGCAAGATCATCTCTGAGAAATCTTCTTATTTAGTATCCATGAATCAAATTCACATAATTTCATATGAATTAAGTCAATAGATCATGCTCAGTATGACATTATTTTTAATCAACAAACCAACCTTATATCTCCATGTTCAGTATGACATATATCTCCATGTTCTGAGGTCCATAAGATGTCGGAAATAACAACATGGATTCAAATATAAGGAGAACCAACTAAAAAAACCTATACTTCTGCATTTTTCTCATGATATTTCCAACTATGAGTATAAAAGACAAATTTAATAGCATACCATCTTCTCTAACTATGCCATCATGCCCATCTGATGAATAAGGATCTAATGCAACATCTGTATAGATAACCTGAGGAAAGATTGAATGAGAAAGGCCACTATCTTAACTTTATATACGTACCACAAAATATAATATCTTCCAACTATGGAAATTGTATTCACTTACAAGGTCTGGGTACTTATCCTTGAGCAAACGTATTGTCCGAGGCACTAAACCATTTTCATTGTATGCTTCATCTCCTGTAGGAGACTAAAGGGGAAAATCTGTCATATTAGATTGCACTACAGTTATCCTACTGAAAAAGTATAGTGTATAGGAGAGAGAATAGAACCTTCAAGGCATCTGGAATTTTGGGGAAGAGCACAATACTATTAACACCAACATCCCGAGCTTTTGCAACCTGAAGAACAAAATGCCCACTTTAAATTACTAAACTTCAATGAGTTATACAAGATATAGTCAAAATTAACATCACCAGCATAGTTTAGGAATATAAAGAAGAAAAAGGTTTTATGTGTGTCTCTACTCGTTAGTTATAATACTATATAAGAAAAGCACCTAAACAAAACCTGCCAGCTTTCCCCAGAAAGGCATGATTCAAACAGTAAAATGCGGCACAACCACAACAACAAAGTATTTTCCCACGAGGTGGGTTGGCTACATAGATCAAACAGTGCTGTAAACTTGTTTTTAATCAACTACAGAGATAGACAATTTACCTCTAGATCGCTCTCTTAATGGTTTGACGTGTAGTTCTAAATCGTAGTAGTAAAGCACAAAAGATTATTTTGATCTTGATTCTCATAGAAGTGACATTAAAGCAAAAGGAAAAGTTCTGAGACATATTCGAACAAAATTATGCAAAAGAAAGTCTAAATAATCTCCAATCATAGGTAGACAACTAAGTTTTTAAAACTGGACTAGTTGTTGGACCAATTAAGACATTGGTTCAACTATGGTTAAACAAGACTCGAAATGGTACTAATAAATTATTATTAGTAATTAAATATATAAAAAAAATTAAAAAACATAATATCATAATTTTTATGATGCTCAAAGTAAATAAAAAACATTAGGTTATAGGTTCTTAACCTATAAAATGTATATAAAAGTTCAAATACAATATGTTAACATACTTAAATAGAAATTTCAATAATATACATCAGTATTTATCAATAATAACAAGTTTAGATCTATAATAAAAAATAACAAATAAAAATAAAAAATACTTTAGGTTGGCTTTTTATTTTATAACAATTTTTTAAAAAATATTATTAAATATTTTTTATTGACCCGCTTATGACCGGTTTTCGGTTCTTCAGCCAGCTTCTCTACAGGACAGTTTTGTGATTAATTTGAACCAGTTACCTGATTGATTCACCAGTTTCCGGTCCGACCAGCCAGTCCTTTTTTAAAATAAATATAGACCGACATCTCTAAATCCCCATCTTCACTATTATTTTTGAATGGTTTGATTTTGTTAAAATGTAATTCACTCTACTACATTTCTAAAATTCCACTCACTTTACGACTATTAGTACTATAATTAGAAAGTAAAAATAAAATCAAAACTTGAGGCAAACAAGGGATTCATTTAAGTCACGCATGATAGTGAGAGACGCGTTAACAGTAGCAGATAAAAACCTCTTCTACAAGTCCATGCCTCCACCCAAGCCGGTAGCATCCAGGCATAGCTCCGATTGGAGTATCTTCTTCGCCTGCAAGTTCAAACCCAAACGTTCTCATGATCCAAATTCAAATAATCAAGCACGAGCATACTATTTAACCAAATCCCTCCAACTCCAACTGAAAAATTAGTATTTGAAGTAAAAAATGACAGTGAAAAACGACATAGAAAATAAACAAATAAGGTTTTGCAAAATCAATAATTAAAATCCTCAGTCCTTGACTTATTAAAATTCGCACTTTAGTCTCTGATCTTGTAAACCTCGGTTCCTCTACAGTATTTTTGGTAACAAATGACAGTGAAAAATGAAATGAAACTTACTCAAAATGCTTATAACTTAAAAGTAATGAGTGCTAAGTTCTAAGAAATCACCGTGTGCAAAGTGACCAACCTTCGTGAATGAAGAGCGGATACACAAAATTCGCCGGCGAGATACTCGTTTCCTGAAAAGCCGACCGAAGCGCAGGCGACTTCCGGTTCCGGCGAGGACGCCGGTGAAGTGGCTGATACAAAATCCAACAAACCAATCAATCCATTGTCAAGCAATCTGTAGTTAGTTAGCAGCAATGCAAAAAGGCAATGGATAGACTCACAAGCGAAGGGACCACGGGAGTTCCAACAGGAGCCACCGGTTTAGGCGGCACGGGAGGCGCCGGCGGAACCTTTCCGGCGACAACGGCGGCTTCAAAATCAGAATCACTCGCTCTCACGACGAAAATCCGTGAAGGGAACGACTTCTTGGCAGCTTGAGGAAAGCAAAAGTTGAAGCTCCTCTGCGGCGATCGGAGACCGACATAGCTCTGACAATTCAACGCAGAGGGCGCATTAGGGATCGAAGAAGCCATTGATTGGCGTGTACAACCCCTAGAATGATGAATTGAAGGATTTTGCGCACTTGAATTTGAGATTGGTTGAATAATCTTGGCGATTTTGTGGTGAAGATGAAGGAAGAATAGGATTGGGAGTGAAAAAGAATGAGGAAAAGGTGGGTTATACGATGGGGCAGAATACAGAGAACCAATAATAAGAGAGTCTCAGCAAGAGGATAAGTGAGGATGTATGCACAGGATTCAGTTCTTCGTCTCCACGTCACACTCATTTTTCTACAACTTGTTTTCTTTATGTATTTAACCACGATGGAATTGGATCCTATGACTTCTTCTCTTAAAAATAGATAGATAGTCATAGTTGTTTATTTATAACAATAAAAAGCACTTGGTTACATGGAAGTTAAAAATAGAAAAAAATATGCGAATCATCATCATCATCTGCGCTTACCGTGGAACCGGAGTCTCGCTTTACTTATTTATTTTATTTCTCCATTAGAGATTTATCTTTCATGATTTCACGGGGATGGATAATAATTTATATATTTTTTAAATTTTAATTTATTATAACATTTTTTAAAAATAAATTTATGAAGAATTAAAGTTTTAAAACAAATAAAAATTTATCTAACGATATTGTACTGGACACACTTATTTCTAGTTGATGAATTATAATAAAAGGCAAAGCACGAAATTGTGTAATAAGACGAGAAACAAAGAGAAAATATGCAAATAAAAGGTTTAACATTGTTTGTATAAAAAAAATGAATGGGTATTGTATTGTATTGAAACTCTATCTAAAATTTACTTATTTTACTGGAGAAAATTAATAATCTTAAAATTTAAAAGATAAAAACAATAAAAAAAATAGTTATATTATGTAACATTTAAAAGCATATTTAATCTTTTATTATTATTTTTAAGCTCACAATATCTTTACTGACAGAAAGAAATATTTTTCTTTACGACTACTTTTATATTCAATCATTTAACGATTTAAAAAAATATACTTTTGTTACTTCATTCGTAATTCTTTAACTCTAAACACCGTGGAAATCTAATTGTTTTATACTGTTTCACCCTTGTCTTACGTTATTTTACTCCATATTTCTTATGCTTTCGAAACTTATATTTTACTCCATGTTTTTTTATGCTTTTTAAACTTATATAATATTTTATTCATATTTATTAAAAAACAATATTAAGAATAACAAAATATCAATCTCATCTCATCTATTTGTAGTCTAAGAAAAAAATAATAACTACAATTACAAATCTTAACTTGTTTTCCTAAAGTTAAACTATTACTTTATATCAATTAAGTTTAATTTAATAATAAATATATATATAATTTTAATTATAATATTATAATATATTTATATTTTTAATCATCGAGGATTGTCGTTTACTCTGTTTTATAGTCTTTAGACATGTTTTCTTTATTGTTGATTAACTTATTACAATTTATAATTGATCACAATGTAAATATTCTCTCCATTCTTGTTTTATCATTGTAGCTTTGAAGAAATAAAGTTGTGCCACACATAATGCAGATTTTATTTATTTTCTCAAAAATAATAAATGGAGATAATTTTTTTACATTATTACATTTCTATATTATTCTCTCATATGACACACTCATTTTGGGCTTCTATTTTGGGCTTCTATTTTGGGCTTCTAAATGGGCTCACAACAATTCCCTGAAAAAGAGGTCCATTTCAATTGAACAAGGTTTTATGACTTCTATGGTGTTACTAGTAGCAGTTTGATGTGGTGGTTTAAGAGCAAATGTACTCAATGAAACACTTTGAACAAGTGCACAAAAGCAACAAATCAGGCTAAAGTGCCCAGTTATTTCTTTCTTTCTCTCTCTCTCTCTCTCTCTCTCTCTCTCTCTCTCTATATATATATATATATATATATATATATATATATATATATTAATATTTGTTTCTGAATCATTACAGATAAAAAACGTGAAACAGGTTTTCAAGAAGAAACTAAAAATGAAATGTGTAATTTATAGAATTTATGATTAAAAAAATATAGATTATATTTGTTCTGTAATGACAAAAATGATTTTTTGTTATCACACTAATAAAATGTTATATTTTTATATTTATTATTAAATAAAAATTGTTGGATGGATATTTGAAAAAAATATTTTCGTCTTGTTTTGTTTTTTTATTTATTTTAAGTTTGTTTTATCTTATGAAATATTTGATACATATATGATAATATATAGTGTTCTTGCAAAATTCTAGGATGGTATCATTTGTCAATTGCAATAGTTTATGTCAAGTGATATTAAAGTAATAACAAATTGGTAATATATATTTAAAAAAATTATTTATTTGTGTAATTTTTAATGGACTTTTATATACATAAAACCTTTACTAAATGTTCAATTTAACTGTGCAATAAGGTGATATTATCGAATTACCTCTTGTAATTTTAGATTAAGATGTAAACGAGTGCGTACTTAATGCACTGTAACAAATATGTTTTAATGATTTTTGAGTGGAGGAATCTAACTAGGCATATGCTAACCTGATATCTAAAAACTATTAAATTTTTATAGATGACAAACATAAAATAAAATACCAAGTCAAAATAATTATCATTATATATTTAATTTTTATATAAATTAATCTTGAATTAGAGACTATGAAGATAAGGATAATTTTTATATATCTTTTCTTTTATTTATCAAAATATATTTTTAAGATAAAATTATGATAAACTAAAATATCCAAATATTATATTTTGAATATGAAAATTAACTAAAAATCATGAAATCTACAGACAGTATCCAAAATCCTTTTTTGAAGCTCTCTTAAAACAAATGCAGTGGGAATGCGCAAGTTTTTCATATAAACCCTAAACACATGGTTGGTTGGGTGTGTTCCTTTTGGAAATTAGGGTAGATGGAAAGAGCATAAGAAAGATGGACCCAGAAGGAACGGATAATTAAATCTCTTATGATTCCGGTACCATCTAATCAAAGTAATCATTAATGGGTCAAAATCATGGTTATTTTCTTATAAGTTATTGTCCCATCGTGTATTGTAAGTCAAAAAGATGATATCTACTTAATCAGGTAATCACTGAAAGATACCATATATAAGTGGAATCTTTTCTAAATTAAGTTTATTTATTTATTTATTTAAATATAAGCAAGATTTTAGTGCATGAATAACATATTGAGTCATTTTTCAAGATGTAATTTGTTATTATGGTATTTTTCTAAAAAAATAGTTTATACATGAGTAAAAGCATTACGATATTTATTAGTCAATACTAGTGAAAAAATTTAAGATGAATGAATTTATTAGTCAATTTATTTTAAGTTTTATCTATATATAAGCAGAAGATTTGTATTAAAATAATCATTCTTTTTGTTCTTTGCATTCTATATATTTCTAGAAAAAAAGTCTTTTACAGGAGCTAGTGTTTTTAATTTTATTTTATATATTATTAAAATTAGTTTTCGTAATGTAAAAATGTTCACTAAAATTTACTAATCAGATTTCATAATTAAAGGAATTAGAACAAAGTTATATTTTGAAAATAATTTCCACCACATTTGGTGGAAGTAAAAGGTAGGAGAGAGAAAAAAAATATATATATATATATATAAAATAGATAGTGTGAAAAGAGAAAGTAGGGTTCTGAATATCACAGGCCTAAACACTTCACATTTAAGCCCACAAAAAATAATTATATTAATAAGGAAAACAATTTATTAATTTGTCATTTTACTTATACATATGCAAGACACGTATACTTTTTGGAAATTGACCATTTATATTTTATTATTAATTTAAAAGTTTTATAATTTATATTAATATTTATAATTTTATTTTTCTAAATTTAATAATTATTAAATATACTTATTTATATATTTATAAATTTATTTTTTTATTTTTATTTATTAATAATATATTATTTGATTTGTTAACATGAATTATCAATGTTTCATATTAAAAAAAGCAATCCAACTTTAGTTTTTATTTTTATCTTTATATGTTTTCAATTGCTACGAAAAAAACAAATAGGAAAGTCATAGACGCAAGCTTACAAAGGAGGGAAAGTGCAGCACATTTTCGTTCTTAAAGACATACACTAATTTGAGTACTCAAGTTCAAACCACAAGTTGAGACGGTCCCCAAAGCACTCACAAGGTACGCAACTTTGGCTTCAACAAAATTTAATATTCTCATTCTCTAAATATTAATTTAGATTAGTTACAGGAATTAAGATCCATGATTTCACTACTCCTATTTTACTTCTAATAATTAATAATCATTATTTCAATTTAAAACTAATTAACATTTATGAAAACATTATTAAATATATAAATCATATATTTTTGTCATCGTTTATCTTTTCAATTAAAAAGATGTTTTTAACTCTAGATGAGATTCATAAAATTATAATATATATATATTAATTTAAATTTAATTAACATCAGATAAAATAACTAATAAATATATAAACCATATTTAAAAAATTAAGATAAATAATATGAAATTCTCCCTCACAGTAACAATGCTAAATCATTGAGTTTGAAGAATGAAAACTAATTTATTAATTATTTTATAATCCGCTAAAAATGTATAAAAAAAATAAACCTGTGAACATAATATTTGATAAAATCTATATTATTGGTACATTAATTAGTTTTTTGTGTGTGAATTAATTTTGAAAGAGAAGCAACACGAAACAGACTATATGAGTTGTTGAATAGGAAGAAAAATTAAGAGCATCCAAAGTGAATTATTTATAAATAAAAACATTATTTTAATATGAAAGTTGTTTAAAATTTAACAGAATCTTTTTGAGATTAATAATTTAGTAATAAGCGGGTATAGGAAGATCGGATAATGTTTCCAACTATGAGTATAAAAGATAAATTTGATGTTTAACACTAAACCCTAATAATATGATCGTGAAATTGAATAATGTTGTTGCCATACGTTTTTGGCTTAAATGCATTATTTTGTGAGGCGTGTGTTGGGAAAACAGAGAGAGAGAGAGAGAGAGAGTCCTTTGGGAACACGCTAATGGGAGGGAGTGTGTAAAATATTAAAAGAAAGGGTGAAAAGAGAAGAAAAATTAGGAGAAGAGATGAATGATTGTGGATGATAGAGATGCGATCGGAGGGTTGAAGAGGCACCACGTTGATTAGGTGTAGAGATGAAAGGGAGGAACACGTGGCAGACAGGAATTGGGTCCCACACTCAAGTGTGAAAAAGGGATTTTGAACAAACTGAGTGAGCCCTAAAGGAAAAAACTTTCTGCTTTGGACACCCTCGATGGGAACAGATTCCAAATATTGGGAAATCTAAATCACAAGAGAGGAATGGGTTTGGGATCCCACAAAAGATTATATTTGCTTGGACCCACTTAAGATTTCAAATTTTGCAAATGGACCCCATTTTGGTCCCAATTCCCAGCCTTTTACTTCTCTCTTCTCCCCTTTACCATTTACTATGCAAACATCAATGGTAACCTTTGTATAAATGTATTACACATTCCATGAAATTCTTCTATGTGTAGTGGTCCCTCTTCTGTTTTGCATTTCACATTTCTTCGTCTTAGACCTTCATTTCTGAAATTTCTAATAATCTTGGTGATTGTGTGATGTGACTTGTTTACCCAAACTGAGCAACAAAAGCAGACGCAAGATTTATTTCATGTTTTACTCTTCTCAATTCAAATTACAATTTGACTACAAACAAATTTTTTCCATCACCATGTCAACATTGCGTCCAATTTAAGGTAAGCACACATCTATTTTGTGATATTCGGTGGGATTTCATAAAGATCTTGTTATTGTTGTTTGCGTAAATTTGGGTGCAAAGTAGCTACCAGTATTAATTAAGACGAGGCTATCATACTAGGAAGCCAGAAATCGCATTAGAAGAAGAAGATGAAATTTCACAATAATCACCTAGGTTGAATCTAGTGGGAATAGGAGTTCATTGAATCGCAATTGACCAAGTTGATTTCGAACATTTGATATACCTAGTTTATTCGTTATTTTTTTTTTCGTGCCCCGACAGAATGAGTTTGTCATGTATAACAAGTTGATGGGTTTGAGCATGTGAGGGTGTTTAACATCAAAATTTCAATTTCTTCACTTTTTACACAGAAATTTTCAGTGCCGAACTTCACAGTACTAAAGGAGGTTAGTGGAATGATGAGTGGAAAATGTTGATTAAGTTAATTTTTCTATAAACTTTTTTATAACAAAATGATGATGATGGTAAAATGGTCCTGTTTAATTAGGGGTCACATCCTACGAAATGTTAGGCTAAAGTAAAATAGGGTGAGGTAAGATTATCCGTTTGTTGGAGCAAAATTATCTTACCCAATGAATGCATCATGCACATTACAAGTAAACATAAAACAAAAACACTGTATTTTACAATGAGAAAGTAAACAAAAGTGGGTGGAGAAGCAAGGTAAAAAGGGAAGAAATAAACCCCACTCATTGCCATTGAACATTAATAAATGTAGTTGAGAAAATTAATGAGAAAGCAAAGCGGTTTAATTAGTTAGGAAAGAAGGGTTGGTTTAATTTTCAAAGTGATGGCAGAATTAGAATGAGGCAATGGTGGTATCATCACCCAAAATTTCAACCTTGTTTCCATCATAATGATGACCGAACGGGAACAAAAATCTTGGGTTTTTCCTTAGCAATCAAATAAAATCTAATTGAAAGGGGAAAGAGAGAGAAAGTTTATGTATGTGTGGTGGTTGTACCAACGCGGTAAAGAGAATCTAGGGAGAAGATCTCAGCATGAAGAAGCTACAACACCACATCCATGCCACTGTGCCACCAGTTTTTTCTCTCATGCACCCCCACTAATACCAAAACAAAAAATACAAAAATGAAAATACAAAGCTACGAGGGATAATTACATTCCACCTCTTCTTCCATTCTCTCTCTCTCTCTCTCTCTCTCCCTCGACACTGAATTACTGATATATATATATATATATATACATTTTAACGACCTGTATATACACACACACACATATATATATATATATATATATATATATATATATATATTGCAAGTAAACATATAGATAGTGTTCAGAAGCTTATTCTCCACCCTGATATGGAGTTTGTGGATACCAGAAAACTACAGTTACAGCAACAACTGCAACAACAGCCGCAACCGCAGGAGCAACATTTTCATGTGTTGGCAGTGGACGACAGTGTCATAGATAGGAAGCTTTTGGAGAGGCTCCTAAGAGGTTCTTCATGCAAAGGTACCTACAATATACCCTTTTCTTTTTAAATCTTCCCCAGCCTCCCATGTTGCTACCACACCATCTTAACTCTCATCAGGTTCTGTGTTGTTAATTTATGGTTTTGGGTTTGATTATTTGTTATGCAGTTACCTGCGTGGACTCTGGAGACAAGGCTCTGAAATATCTTGGGTTGGTTGATGACCTCCATGATACTACTTCTTCAACCTCTTTAGACTCATCATCTTCTCCTCCACCTCAACCATTGCAGGAAGAGGTAATAATCGTATTCTGCTTTTTTTTTTTTTTTTTTTTTATCTTCAATGGTTTTAAGATAAGTGCCTGTTGTGTACTACATTTGAGCCAGTCCATTGATTTGAGTTGTAGTTTCATTCTATGGACCGTTTTCTTTCCGTACATAGAAATTAAGTTCTTGCTTAATTCACTAGTTTTCAAATCAAAGTACTACTTCTAAAGGGCTTCCACTTCGTTGAAATGCAGCACTAGTTATTCCTTTCACGTAGTTAAACTCTTTTCCCCCTTAAGTAACAGCATTCAATTGCCGAAGTGCTGTCTACGTTTCTTCCTCTTCTAGTGGAAAAGAAACCCACGTTTCTCTACCTTTCTTTAAGAAAAAGAAGGAAGAAGATGAAAGTGAAATGAAAAATAAGTTTGTTTAGTCAATTCTACCGGGAGAGGAAGCTAATTACTGCTGGAAAATAAAATATAGAAAAGTATATACAGTTGCATAGGACTAAAGTTTTTTTTTTTTTTTTAAATGAAAACTAAAATGCATTTCTTGATTATAATTGTTATAAATTATCATTGTTGTTACTGCATGGAAGGGTACAAGGATATATAGGATATAGGAGTTTTTCTCCAGAAATTACTTTCAAAGGATACACATACATAGTGATTAATGCAGGAGGTTTCTGAAATTGTTGTTAATGTAAATAACATTGAATTGGGGTGGCTTTCTATTAACTCAGACCATTTCTCTTTCACCAAAACTTCCATTCACCGAGATCGCGTATGCATATTATGTATCAAAATGCAATATATAATATATGGATATCAACGGAAGATAGCTTAATACTATCTTTGTTATACATGCATGATTGTTTATGCTAGTTTTTCTTGAAGATCCACGGCATTGTAATCCCGCAAGCATGCCAGAAAAAAACAATACAATTTTGAAGTTTTGTAGAAAAAGAGGAGACTTTTTCATTGCGGTGTACGTACTAGTAATTGTTGGTTTGATCCACGCTCCTAGAATCGTATCTACACTTGTCTACATCAGTTTTCTTTTCGTGAAGCCTTTCTTTTGGAAAAGAAAAACGGGTACAAAAAGGTTTGAGTATAGACCATTCAATTTGGTTTTTGCAACGTAGCTATAGTTCATGGTGGTCATTTCCCTCCTTTAATTTATGTGAGCGTAAAATGCATGATGATCTAGTTATAGTGGGGTGAGATATTCCAAATGAATAGCAAACAGTAACATGTACTTTCTGTTGCATGTTTTTGAATTGCAGGGAATGAAAGTGAATTTGATCATGACAGACTATTGCATGCCTGGGATGAGTGGCTATGATTTACTAAAACGAGTCAAGGTCAACACACAACTCTTATTCCCCGACACCTTCCGAAATTCCCTCTGTCTTTTTTAGCTTCAATGGCATCTACTCAAACAATAAAAGATTCCAAACATTCCCTTCTCCTTCAATCAAGACTTGGAATAATTTATCATTTATCTGCACACTGCAAATAACTGCCCAGTTACTCCATTTTTACTTCAACCTGGTCTTCTTTTCATTCACCCTTACATACATACATACATACATACATACATATATATATATATATATATATATATATATATATATATATATATAACATTTTTTAAACAAGGTGTAGTAGAAAGAAAGATAAAGAAAAAAAAGGAAAAGTTACAGATTTCAGGATCTATGTTTGCTTTCACTTTTTTCCCTTTTCTTTAATTTGGTCATTTTTTTGTTTTCATTTCTTTCTTGTTATGACATTGCTTACCGCTGTAGGGATCTTCTTGGAAAGATGTTCCAGTCGTGATCATGTCATCAGAAAATGTACCTTCCAGAATCAGCATGTAAGTTTTCCTTGCTTCATTTTTAGAACTGATCTTTAAGATTTACCATAGTTAGCTGCACTCCTCAAAAGAACATGGGAATTTCATAATTGAAATGCATCATCTCTTTGTCACGTTAAAATAAATGTTTGAGAAATACAAGTTAGTGAAAGATTTTTTTGTTGCTAACGAAATTTTAGAAATCATGTAATTAACAGATTTATGAAACTGTTGATAGGTGCTTAGAAGGAGGTGCAGAAGAGTTTCTGTTGAAGCCTCTTCAATTATCAGATTTGGATAAGCTTCAATCATACTTTGTGAAATCTCTTGAAAACTCTTGTGAAAAAGAATCTGTTAACAGTTCCATAGATTCGGAGAATGACAATGTGATCATCAACATCAGTAACCATAATCATAACAGTAACAGTGTTAGCAAAAGGAAGGCCATATCTGCTGAGTCTCATCAAGAGAGATCAAGAACCAAAATGAAAGAGTTGGCTGTGGTGTAAGAAAATAAGCATAGTACTATAGAGAGTGTTTGGTGCATACGTGTTATATATAGTTTATGACTATGATCCTAATCATAGCTATCTCCTCAAATCTAAGAGCTTGGTGAATTATAATGAGTATTAATGTTGTTTCTTCATAATTAATTACATTTTACTTCCTCTTTAAATAAGTTGATGCTTACCACTTGCCAACTTAGATCATTCTCAAACTATTTTAACAAATGAGAAGGAACATTTTGCATTGCTTCAACTCCTTTCTAAATCATGTTATTATTATTTAAATCTTTAACATGTCGAAGAAATCATTTGACCCTTACATGTATTAGTATTTGTTAGATTTTTGGACTCTCTTCTTCTTTAGATAATAAAAATAAATATATAAAGTTCACTTGTTTCAGGACTTTTCACTAAAATGGGTTAAAAAATATTTGAATTTTATTAATATGGTCAAATTTTTTAAAAATTACTTAAAGGGGTTATATCATATTAAGTTACACGATTTTAAAAACGATTTTGTATTAAAATAATTAAATCGTATTTTCTATAACGATAATTTTTTTAAAATCAAAGTCGTACTACGTTATATTGATTCGTAACAAAATAGTAGTACAACTTTGATTTTATTTTTTAAACAATTAAATTAATTTTATTAAATAAATATATTATTTAAAAACTAATAATTTATTCATTATTATATATTTATATTATAAAATCTTATATTAATTATTTATTTTATTTATATCAATTATTATTTTATATAAATTTTATAAATAATAGAAATAGAAAAAATATTTTAAATACAAAATAAATATATCAATAAATTTATTTTTAAATTTAAATTATGTTATATTATTTATTTCAAAATTAATAATAAATATTATTTAGATAAATATATTATTTAAAAAATTCATATAAAATAAATAATTAATATAATATTTTAAATAAATATATTATTTAATATTTTAATAATAATATTATTGTATATATATATATATTAACTTTATTATTTATATAAGTTTATATAAAATAATAACTAATATAAATAAATAAATAATTAATATAATATTTTATAACTTCTAAAATATATATATATATATATATATATATATATATATATATTATATAAAAAATAAATAAATTATAAATTTTTAAATAATACATTTATTTCAAAAAATTAATTTAGTTATAAAAACACTTTAAAAATATATATTATTAATTTTGAAATAAATAATATAACATAATTTAAATTTTAAAATAAATTTATTAATATATATTTTTAATTTTTTTTCCTATTTTTATTATTTATATAAAATAATAATTAATATTAATAAAATAAATAAATAATATAATATTTAATAATATAAATATGTAATAATAACTAAATTATTAATTTTTAAATATGTATATTTATTTCATAAAATTAATTTAATTATTTAAACAAATAAAATTATTCTATGACTTTAGTTTTATATAAAAAAAAATTACGTTGAATATGTTAAAGAAATCACGATTTTAATTTCTTATTACAAAATCGTTTTACATTATATGATTTCGTTATTTAAAATGATGGAAGATTTAGCTCAATTTTAGTAATTTTTTAATAATTTGACCCATATAAATAAAATCCAACTATTTTTAGCCGGTGAAAAAACCCTTATTTTACTTATCATACTATAATTATGTATGAGACTTATTACAAAAATACAACAACTAAATAAAAAGAATAAAAATCATTGTGTTTTTCACGTATGGGTATATTGTTTTGAATTAGAATTAAAAATTCAACTATATTTTAGGTTTTTTTGTTTTGTTTTTTTCTTATAAGGGAACTTTTCAAGAAGATGAGAGGACTTGGATGGAGGAGAAGCACCTCATATAATTCTTAGAGGAAATAAAAGAGTGTTATAAAAGACGAATAAATAAGGAGAGTTTTAAAAAGGAAGAATGATTATTACAAGGCTTAAGAAGCTAAAAAAGAGTTAAGAAAGCATAACGTCTATTGTAAAAATCAGAAAATTCATGGTTTTTTTAGTTGAGAATATTCTAAAAAATTCTATGATGGACGAAGTAAAGAAGATATATAAACTCACATAACCACTTCCGTAGGACAACACTAACTCTTCTCTCTCTCTCTCTCTCTATATATATATATATACATATATTTCTTTCTTGATAGAAGTATCCGATTAATACCGAGTTAGATCAAATAATTCATTACTCAAACGTGTAATAAAAAACAGCGTGTACTTATCATGCAAAAAGTGTAAAAGTAAAATTTCATCTATAAGAGTACAGTAAAGATATATTAGGTTTTAAAAATTTACTTTATTAACCAATAAAAGATTTGATATAATTTGTGAAATATTATATTATTGTAATTATTAAAATATAAATTAGATAATCAAAATATTTGGAGAATTTGGATGAATGGTTAATTAAGACCACCTTTACTATTGTACTAAAAAATAAATAAACACAATAACCTTATATTAATAGATATAGTGGTTTAATTTAAAACAAAATAAAAAAAATAAAAGTACATTAAATATTTCCTTTCAAAATTTAAGTTATATATTATATAAATTTTAATATATATTATATGTATGATTTGATATTTGATATTTTTAAAATTATAATTATCATTTAAAACAATGAATGAATTTATAATTTTAAAAATCGATGCATGAGACGATGTATATTTTGCCATCTGGAACTCTACTTAGATCGCATCACTTTTATACACCTTTTTTTTAAATCAAATAGAAATAATTTTGGTTAAAAAAGAAAAAGAAACTAGCACCTCGTACTGGACGGATGAGGTAACATCACACTTTCTATACTTAATTTAAAATTGGTTTGATCACACGTTATTAAATCTATTGTGATATTAGATTATTTTTAATAATTTATTATTTATCATTAAAATTTAATTTGAATTATGAAATTTACAAATTACGTGGACAAAATAAAGATAAACTAATAATAAATAATGATAGTTGGAAAGGAAATTTTTAGTCAGTTTTCAATTAAATATAAATTTTGGATAAATTAGAAAAAGGTATTTGATATCTATTTTTAACTCAACAAAATTATAACTAAAATCAGGATATTATATAAATTGTGAAGTTCTAACTTTTAAAAAATATTTTTATTTATTTATCGTTAAGTTTGATGGACCAACGGTATACTTTCTCATAAAGTTAAAATACGCTGAATTAAGACAAGCCCATTTTCAACATCCTACTAACAGATTGGGCCAAGATGTTGACCTTAGCTTCCCACGCTTGAAAACAACTTCCAAAACATTTTCATTTTTTTTTAAATAACATAATGAATATATACGTTCGATATCCAAAATAATTTCAATTGAATATTTTTTTTATAAAGATAGTCCACATGTAAGAAACTTGGAAGCGAATGATAAATTATAAGAAATCAATCGACTATAAAAATGCTGGAAACATTTTGGTGTTCTGAAAACGTTCATTAAATTAGTTCAGATCCCAGCTACATCTTTTCCAGAACTAAACTCAACTCTACACCAAACAAAATACCGTTTTATTTCCCAAAAACATAAAAACGGAACAAAAGATAAAAGTATCGAAGAAAGATAGTTGCACCTAAGATTCACTAACTTCTGACAAAGGGTTAACACCCCACATGAAACTATGTGTCTATATCCCCCGATAGGTACAGCTCCTTTACTGCAAAGAGGAGACTATGTCAAAATATGCAAAGCAAAGTTTGTAAGAGGTTTTATAGGCATTGCAATGAAAATGGACAACTAATTATCTGCACACTCACCTTTCAAAGCTCATCTTTTCCTTTTTCTTGCTCAACTTTTACTGGTTCTTGGTGAGCAGGCTTAGCTGTTCCTTGTTCTTTCTTGGCAGGTTTGTCGCGGTTCTTTTCAATGAATTCTATGATGTCTTCCTTGGTCCTACCACCGTCGTACTGTGATAGAGTTCCACTAGATGACCTGAAGTACAGGGTCGGATAACCTTGGACATCAAAGGTATCACTTGGGATATCGTTGGCAGTTGCATCCTGGAAAATGGCAAACGACATGCAGAATGTAAGTAAAAGAACATAGGACAGGACGGTAATTAAAATGCATTTCATGAAACTCTGCAAAAATATGCTCCAAGCTTTTATTCACCGCTTTCAATTCATCTGTCAAAGCCAGTTCCAGCATTGATTGAAACGGATATACCATGATAGTAATCAAAGCTAAAAGCTGAATACATTTCATACCAGTTTGGCAATGATAACATCGGCATCACTTTGATATGAGATAGCAACTTCCTCCAATATTGGAGCCAACTGTTTGCAATGACCACACCATGGAGCGTAAAACTCCAGCAGAACTGCAAGGTGTTTGTGTTAGCTGTTATAATGGACTGATGAAGGGAAACCACGAATTAACACAAGCGATGCATGGAAGATTCTACTGTGGACATAATTACTACTACTACCACATATAATCAAAGATAAATAGTATCCTGAACAAAATGAAGACTTCAATCATATTAGCATCGTCAGCTTAATTTTGTACACGAAACATAAATATAATATGCAAAACTCTCCGCAATTATGTTCACAATCAACCAACTACTATTATCAATCAAGATAGGTTCAATTCCTATAAAATAGTATGATTACAAGCTAACACAAGGAGAGAATTGACCACTATAATGAGACATTATATTTTGCTAAAATATAAGGTCTTTAAATTGATCAACTTTTTGTTATTCTTTTAATTTCATAAACTTAGAGGCCTACGTCAAATGTTTAACACAACTTCTCAAAAGGAAAATATCAGTCTCTTTCCTTCATAGTTTGCAACAAGAGATTATACAAACAGATTCAGCACATTAAATGTGGTAAAAGTATAAAACCATATCTATCATCTTCACCTAAAGGTTGATTTTACAAAAACTCTAGATGTATTCGTTATCCAATCATCTTAATTAGTCTGTAACGCTCTTTCACAAACAAGGAACATTAGAAACGTGATATTCTTGAAAATACAGTGTATGCCAAACTCTATTTGATAATCATTGGAATAAAACCAAACTAGAAAAGGAAATAAGTATACCATTCTTCCCAGACTTGAAAACAATATCGTCCAGACTTTCCCCAACTACCACTTTAACTGGTTCATCGTTAGTTTCAGGAATAGGTTCAGATTTCACATATGGTGCAATATTACCGTCCTGACATATTTAGAAGGAAAATGTTAAAATTTGTAATTATCCAAGACAAATAGCAGTCACAATTCCATAATTTAAAATTAAAGAGTAAATTAATATATCCTAACCATTAGAATAATAAACCAAGGCTTAAATAATGAACTAATAGAAATAAGAATAACCTTGTATGCCTTCAACCATGTTGGAATGTCATCGGCTTCCAACTTGGGTTTAAAAAACTTCTTCCCGTCATTATGTTGAATGATAATTAAAGGCACTTGTTCTTCCTTCAGTCCAAAATACTGTCAAGACAAGCCATGCTCAACATCAAATTTTGATATTAAGCAAACAACAGACAGCTACAGAATGATACGTATCTTGATACAAACCTGGAAAGCTCCTTGACTAGACTCAACATCTCCAACCAGAAAGCTCACACCCTGTTGTTTATATTGCTCAGCAGCTTCACGATACTTTGATTTGAAAGAGTCAGCATTTACAGCAGTGAAGTTGATGAACAACATTGCCTATGAATATTAAAAAAAAAATTTTAATATTAGTAGATGAGGAGGACACTAAAAGAAAGTGAGCTAATATTTAACAATCTCAAATAGCTGTCAGCTCCTAAAATAATGGATGGCGGAATGGCTGCTATTTTAAATATTAGTATAGTACAAACTAAAAAAAATTTAATTTATACAATACATTGCATATAAATACCAAAATGTAAAAATCACTGAAGGCAAAAAGCCGCTAGTAGCCCAATTGCTACAATTGAAAACCGCTATTTCAATCCATGCCCTGCTTCTCAGGGATAGCAATTATTTACAACATGGAGGTGTTTAACTAAGATAAAACACAGGCTGTAAAAATTAACAAATATAAAATACAGCTGCAAAAGCGTGATTAGTAAGGAATTCTCCAGTTTAATACTGGAAGAACAAAATTGACTTAAATAGCTCATTACCTTTGCATTGGGGCTGCCGAAGAATTTCACAACAAAAGGGTGATTGCTAGGATCGTTGTTAAAGATAGTAACGACAGGGGTACTAGATTCCTCGACAAATTTCTCTATTGTATCCACATTGAAATCCTACAAGCACAAGGCAATTTTGTACACAGCCAAAATAAGATTAAATCATCAAATGAGATTGCAAAATTAATCCGCATAAATCAACACTACCTTGGAGTCAACAACAAGTTCATCGAAAGGCTTGAATAACCTAACAACAGGGCCAGCGATTGATGATTCACCTCTTGGAAGGTGTTTGGCATTCAGAGTGTGACCAAAGTCATAGTCAGCACGCAACTTCTCTGCTATGGCAGTAAAGTTATTAAACTCCTCCCCAAAAAATTTCGGGAAAACTCCAACCTGAAAAAATTGGAATATATTATTACAGGCCAATGTGAGTTAAAATAAAGAAAAATGAATCACTTGGTCACTTACAACAACAACTTTATTTTCACCGATAAAAGCAGTAGCTTCATCAGCAGATTTAATTTCAGTTGAAGCAGGACCACTCTGTTTCTTCAAATAGTCAACGATGCCATCTGCTTCACGGGGACCTTTGTATTCCTGAACAATTTTCCCCCCATTTCTCACAATCTTAATTGTTGGGTATCCCTTAACATCATATTCCGATGCAAGTTCTCTGTTCTTCTCTTCATTGGCGTCGACTTTAGCCAAAACAACCGGAGGATTAAGACTGCTCAAGATAGAAGCAGCTTTCTCATACTACAGAAACAACCATTCACACAACAATCATTCGCATAATCCTACCATAAAAATTCAAAAGAAACCCCCAAAATTAAAGGTGGTCAAAATTACCTCGGGAGCAAGCTTCTTACAGTGGCCACACCTACAAAGGAAAAAAAAAATCACGTTAAAACCGCAATGCACTATTATCGATAGCAATCGATCTCAATGAAACCGATTCTAAACAATCGATTCAACATGAAAATCAAGCACTACCAGTTCAAATGAAAGCACAGAATTAAATAAATAAAAAAAAGATTAAAATGTGGACATTAATACAGACACAAAATCACAACAGGAAAGTAACAAAAGAGAGATGTGGAACAAAGTCAAAGCAAATGTAACAGATCTGACCGAGTAAACATCAAACAGAAAATTAAAAACAAGCAATTTAAACGACCGAATCGAAGCATACCATGGAGCGTAGAACTCAACAACGATGAAATCGTGCTTGCTGATAGTCTCGTGAAAGTTGGAGTGATCCAACGTGAGCACGAACTCCTTAGTCTCGGATGCCTCCTCAGCAGAGATCTGTGCCGTGAGAAGAGAAAGTGCGAAGACGAAGAAGAATGAAGAAATCGAAACCCTACGCGCCATTGTTCCTCAGAAGAAGAAGCTGTGTGTAAGAAATTGGGATTCGGAGACAGTCACGAGAGGGGTTTTTGTAGGAGTTAGAAACAGACCCGGAAAAAACACAGGTTGACACGTGCGCTATGTTTCTAAGATATTTTGGACTTTGAGTAGTGACAGCGAATCTCGTGTCCCCACGTTGGCACTCTTTCTGACGTGGCGAAATCTGATTCGACGATTCTTGTCACACAACATTTTTTACAAATTTTATTAATAAGTTTTGGTTTTTAATGGGATTTTCTTTTCTTTCCTTCAGCATCCCTGATGAAACGGGTACTGAATAAATAAATGGGACTTTAATTAAGAATAATTCATAAATGCTTTGGGTGAACATAATCCCGTGTAATGCGGTGTATGTTACACATTTGTGGGTCAACAAATCCGATGGATTTGAATCATTGGATGATGGTAAGGAAAAGATTTTATTGTTGACAACATATTTTGACTCTTCTGCTTGATTTTGTTTTCGGTGTTAATACAAGATTAAGTGGTTGACTAAGCAAAAGAAGGAAAGAAATGTTGAAATTTGTAAATGCTAGTACTCTCAACTAATTCAAATCTTTCCTTTTTAGTCATCTTCAATTACTTATTATTTATTTATTACTTTTTTACTTTTTTTTAATATTTATCTTTTTAAGCTATCTTTCTTATCATGCTTATAAATTAAATTCAACCACATTTTATTTGAATTATTAAATTTTAAATAATTTCATGCTACAATTTTTTACTTATTTGTTGTTTTTATGATTTTTATATTTAAACATAACTATTATTAGATTTTAAAATTGAATATATAGTTTTAACTATTTAAACAAAATTGTTTTTGTATAATACACAAAGTAAATACTAACTATATTTTAAATTAGTCTTAGTGAATAAAACCATATTGAAAAAAATAATAATATATTCACTTTGATTGTACCAGAGGATCTTAGTCATTAATTTATGCAGTGAATAATTTGTATTGATATTATGATTATAAAAAAAATTAATCTTTAAAAAAAAAAAAAAAAATATATATATATATATATATATATATATATATATATATATATATAATGAGTTACCATAACCTTTTATTATCATAGTATAAATTGTTTATCATAAATAAAAAATATTTACTTTATCTAAAATTTTGATTATAATGCAATTTATAATTTCAAAATTACTTATATTATAAAAACATCATAATATAAATCATTTATCGTAAGACTGACGGAGGAGCAAACATCTTATGGAGAAAAACATTAACAAATGGATAATACAACCAATAAATTTAGATAACAGATTAAAAAGGATTAAATATAATTCAATTATTTCTATAAAAAAAATCAGTTTTAGTTTCCTTAGAAAAATTATTTGCTTTTAGTCCAATTCAATTTTATATTACACTGTTTTTATTTTCTTACAGTGGTTTAGATAAGTATTATAGAATGATACAGGATATTTGAAGTAGCTTTTTAAAGATAAAGAATGGCATTTTAAAATTAAAAAGAATAAAAAAGTATAAAAATAATTAGAAAAGTTAAATTGAAAGTTAAAACTTTTATAAGAAAAAAAATATTTGAATCCGCATTAAAACAATGGAATAATGTAATTTAATCAAAGTAAAACTTTCTTCCACTCTCTTGCTTGCTCTTTTATACCACAGTTAGCATATTTTCAAACCCCTATATCATCAGTAATACACTTTTTAAGATTTCTTCTGTAACATGGCTGTTGTTAAAGTCATTTCCTTCAAAAAGAAATTTTGTGCCAAGCTACCATGAAACATATTTATTGTACACAATGTAAGTAAACAATGGATTTTCGAAATCATTTCGGTTGAAGACTTATGAATTTTCAAATTAAAAGAACAAAAACATGATATTTAAAAAAAAAATCAAATTTGAAAATTTTAAAGATAAAGAAACATATTTTTCTCTCTTATAAATGACTGGAAGATCAAGAATCATAAGATATTTAGAGACTAGAGATTCTGGAAACATAGAAATATCCCATAATTTAACTCGGGTCCCAGCCAGAACTTGTACAACAACACACAATTCGACTATAGCCGAAAACACACATAATTTTCTTCAGTAAAACATACATACGTACATTATGCATAGGGGAAACCGAAAACACAAAAGCCGAGCAAAGGAAGATAGAGTGGAACACACTGTGTTAATATTTCTCAAGAAGAACAACTACTTTCCTGCAAAGGAGAGACTAAATCAAAATGTGCATACCAAAGTTTGGAAGAAATTTTATAGCATTCCAAAGAATATCAACGTCTAATGATCTACAGACATACCTTTCAAAGCTCATCTTTTACATTTTCTTTCTCACCCTTTTCTTGTTCTTGATGAACAGGTTTCTCCCTATTCTTTTCAATGAATTCTATGAAGTCTTCCTTGGTCTTATTGCCATCGTATTTTGATATCTTTCCACTTGCTGACCTGAAGTAAATAGTTGGATAACGTGTGGCTTCAAAGGAATCACTTGGGTTATCGTTGGCAATTCCATCCTGGAAAGTGACAAACAACATGCAGAATATAACTTAGAAAAAACAGCTTAAGATGGGTTATCTTTCATAATAATTTATTTCTTAAAGTCTACAAATACACTCCCAGCTTCTGTAGCACACAGTTTTCAGTCGGAGGACAAAGCTACCTCCACCATATAGATTGAAACAATTAATAATTAAAGCTGGAAGCAAGACATCTTTCTTACCATTTTTGCAATAATAACATCAGCATCACTTTGATATGAAACAGCAACTTCCTCCATTGTTGGATCCAACTCTGTGCAGTAAGGACACCAGGGAGAATAAAACTCCAGCAGAACTGCAAGAAGTTTGTGTTAGCAGCTATATTATTGGAATGATATAGGCAAAGTGATTTTGTGAGAGATTCTATTTGGTGTATAAGTACTGCCATATACAATCACAAATACATAATGTTATCAAAAGAACATGTTACACGTATAATTATTTCTGCTATATACATAATCAAAGATACATAAGATTATCACAATGACATGCTTCCAAAATAAAATAAAAGTTTAGTTATGTTGTAAAATCAGAAAAAATAGCAAAGTAGTATAAAATTAGAAACAAAGAAGAACAGAGTGATACAGAGCTCAGCAGTGAACAAAAGGGAAGAAAACTCCTTTGTTCATTGATACCATAAAGGTTTTTTTTCTGCATACATAAAGAGATATGTAAATCTCCACAAAATAAGGACTACCACACCTTTCTACCTAATATTTGACCATACAACCTACTCTTCCTTAAAATAAGGATTTTCACCAAACCAAAAAGCAATCAGAAGTTACATAAAGTATTTTATAGAAAAAACTCAATTTCTAACACTCCTCCTTGAGATTTTTCTTGAATACTCCAAGCTTTGATCTTAGAAATTCAAACTTGTTCTTGGAAAATGCTTTGGTCATAATATCAGCAATCTGATTCTCTGAACTACAATGCTCTACGCTGATTTCCTTTGATTTCTCTGCTTCTCTAATGGCATGATATTTCACCTTGATGTGCTTTGTTCTACCATGCTGGACAGGATTCTTTGCAATTGCAATGACTGACTTGTTATCAACCAATATGACAGTAGTTTCATCATTCAGTTCCCTCAAATCATGCAAAAATTTTCTAAGCCAAATGGCTTGATTAGCAGCCGCTGCAATTGAAATATATTCAGCTTCAGCTGTGGATTGAGCCACCACATCTTGTTTCTTTGAATTCCAAGAGAAACTCCACTACCAAATGAGAAAACATAACCTGATGTACTTTTAGCATCATCTAAACTTCCTGCCCAGTCACTACCTACATATCCTTGAAGATCACCACTTTCATCCTTTGAAAAACATAGACCATAATCAGTTGTCCCTCTTATATATCTTAATACTCGTTTTGCTGCACAGTAATGAGCTTGACTAGGAGAATGCATAAATCTGGACAACAAACTTGCAGCAAACATTAAGTCTGGTCTAGTAGCTGTAAGATACAATAAACTTCCAATTAAGCTTCTATAAGTACTAGTATCTACTTTGCTGCCAGCATCATCAAGTGACAACTTTTCATTTACAACAAGGGGTGTGTTTACAGGTTTACAATTCTGCATAGAAAACTTCTTCAATATTTCCAAAGCATATTTTCTTTGTGTAATGAAGATTCCAACATCACATTGGTGAATCTCCATTCCAAGAAAATAATTCATTTCTCCCAAGTCAGTCATTTCAAATTCAGTTGCCATATCATGCTTAAAGCTGCTCAAGGAATCTGAATTATTGTCAATAACTAGCAAATCATCAACATATAAGGAAACAATGAGCTGTACTTCATTGCTTGACCTTTTCACATACAAAGTAGCTTCATTTTCACTCCGTTTAAACCTCGTATGCAGAAGATAACTATCAATTCTACTATACCAGGCCCTAGGAGCCTGCTTTAATCCATAAAGAGCTTTTTGAAGTTTGTAGACTTTGTTTTCACTCCCTAGAACAACAAAGCCTTTAGGTTGTTCAACAAAGATATCCTCTTCAAGTAAACCATTTAAAAAGGCTGATTTCACATCAAAGTGATAAATTTTCCAACCCATTTTTGCTGCCAATGCAACTAGTAACCTAATTGTATCATGTCTTGCCACCGGAGCAAATGTATCTGAGAAATCAACACCATGTTGTTGATGATAGCCTTTAACAACTAGTCTAGCCTTTAGTTTGTTTATAGAACCATCAGGATTCAATTTGGTTCTATAAACCCACTTAAGACCAATAACTTTGTGTTTAGTAGGCTTGTCTACAAGTTGCCAAGTTTTGTTTTTTTCAATCATATTCATCTCCTCCTGCATAGCACATCTCCACCCATCCATTTCAACTGCTTCATCATATTCTTTAGGTTCTAGTGCAGCAATGTTACACCTTTCATAAATTTCAGCAAGAGTTTTAGTGTCTCTAACTGGAAAATCTTCATCATCATCTAAATCTTTTTCTTCCATCTCTGAATATTGTTCTTGGAGAGTGTCTACTCCAAGCTGTTTTTTACTTAAGGCTTCTACCTTACATTTCTCCCAATTCCATCTAGAAAATTCATCAAACTTTACATTTCTACCAATGAGAATCTTCTTTGTCAAAGGATTGTATATCCTATAACCTTTGGAGTTACTAGAGTACCCTAAGAAAATACCAACTTCACTCCCTCACAGGCCCTTAAAATCAAAGGGCTCTTGATACCACGTTGTAAAATCAGAAAAAATAGCAAAGTAGTATAAAACCAGAAATAAAGAAGAACAGAGAGTGATACAGAGCTCAGCAGTGAACAAAAGGGAAGAAAATTGCTTTGTTCATTGATACCATAAAGGTTTTCTTTCTGCATACATAAAGAGATATGTAAATCTCCACAAAATAAGGACTACCACACCTTTCTACCTAATATTTGACCATACAACCTACTCTTCCTTAAAATAAGGATTTTCACCAAACCAAAAAGTAATCAGAAGTTACATAAAGTATTTTATAGAAAAAACTCAATTTCTAACAAGTTATTATTTTGGTATGTTTATAAGTCCCACCTCTCTTACCAATACTTCTGATTATTTTGGAATCAATACTATTTTATAAACACTCTTTACTTTAAGTCAATGAGACACCTTTCAAAAATAAAATTGTGATGATTTTGTCTTTGATATCAATTATACTTTGATGCCCCATTCTGTATTTCTAACATACCATTTTAGTTTTTCATAAAATAATTTGATCAATTTTTGTAAAACTTTCTTTTAATTTCATAATAGAAGAGAGCTTCCTTTGATGTTTAACAATTCTTCTGATTAAAAAAATTAAGTCTGTTCCTTTATAATTTACAACCAATGATAATAGTAACTGGTTTACAGCATTAAACATTTACAAAGAGAATATCATTAGGTCCCAGAAATGTGGTAAAATCGTATGTATCAGCTCCATGTGAAGGTTGATATTACAAAAGTCGACAGATACATTATCTAATCATCTAAATTGGACTGTAATAATACTCTTTCACACCGCAAAGAACATTAGAAACGTGATTTTTTTTATTAGAGCACAGTGAATGCCAAAATCTATCTCATAATCCGTGGAATAAAATCAAATAGAAACGGTAATAAAAATAAAGTATACCATTCTTCCCAGAGTTGAAAACTATGTCCTGGAAGCTTTTCCCAACTACCACTTTAACAGGTTCGTCGTTAACTTCAGGAATAGGTTCAGACTTAAAATAAGGTGCAATATTTCCATCCTGAAATGTTCAAAATGAAAATGATAAAAAATTTCAAGACAAGTAACAGCCTGAATAAGATAATTTTAAATTAAAGAGTTAACCACTACTACAAATAAGATAGCAGATTAAATCAGGCTAAAGCAAAATCTACCAAGAGAAATAAGAATAACCTTGTATGCCTTGAACCAAGTTAAAATGTGATCAGCTTCCAAATTGGGTTTGAGAAATTTCTTCCGATCAATATGTTGTACCAAAATTAGAGGTACTTGATCTTCCTTCACTCCAAAATACTGTGAAGACAAGCCATACAAAATGTAAAATATTGACATTAAGCAGAGAACAACTACAGAACGTTACACCTAGAGTATTTTGATTTAAAATACCTTGATTTAATGCCCACTAAACTAGCATGACAATAGGAAATGAGGGACCGATTTTGCCTTCCCAAATCCTTCGAATTTTTTACGTTTAAAGTTAGAAGTTAGAAATTAAGTTCTCGTTACTTCTCTAATCTAGATTATTTTTAAAAAATAATTATACTTATAATAAATTAATTTTAATATTTTTTTAATATATTTTATATACATAAATAAATATTTATAATTTTATAATTTATAATTATTATTAATTAAATATATTTTTAATTTATTATATATATATATATATATATATATATATTAAAATATGTATATTTAATCATACTTCTACACCGATGTAAAATACTTATATTATTAATATTATTATAATACTATAATAAAACATTTAATTATATATATAAAAGTTAATTCTTTTTTATTGTCTTTCAAAAAAATAAAATATATAATTATAAGAAAATACTTAACAAAATTAATTTTTATTTAATTAATTTAAAGTAATAAAAGTTTAAATTATTAATTCTTTAAAATATAATTATTTTATTAAAATAAAATTTGATATATCATAATAAAAATAATAAGATTTAAAAATATGATAAATAAAATTTAATAAAAATAAATTATAAATAAAATAATATTAGTTATTATTAAGATTTATATAAAATATTTAATAAAAGAAAAATTAACATATAAAAAAATTAATATAATAAATTAATTAATAAAAAAATATTAAAAAAAAGTAAAAGTAATAAAATATAAAAAATAATTTTATAAAAAAAGAATATTAATATTTTAAAATCTAAATATAAAAAGGAATGAGTATAGATTGTTGGACACATCCCGCCAATACTGACTTTTTTAAGTGAAAAGCTTGATAAACTCGATTTTTTCGTCAAAGAACGATGCCAGATCAGTGCCCTCATGTTTAATTGTTCTCTTACGCTAAACTGAATGTTTAACCTATTTTGATACAAACCTGTAAAGAATCTTTAATAAAGCTGACATCTCCCAACAGAAAGCTTACACCTGGTTGTCTGTATTGCTCGGCAGTTTCTTGGAATTTTGATGCGAAAGTTTCAGCACCTTCGGCAGTGAAGTTGATAAACAACATTACCTACCAATATTAAAACTTCGATTGAGGTTTCTTGAACACAGGTTATGATGGGGAGAAAACCCAACCAAAGGAAATAATAATTATTTGGAACATAAAATGGCGTGAAAGCAAGCCAATTCAGAATGGTGGGGCTCATAGTTATCAATCTCAGATAGAGATGCGCAGAAGCCAGCTGCAAAAACGCAACAGCAGGAAGTAGGATGACTACTATTTTAATTATTATATTATATTATATTATATATATATATATATATATATATATATATAAGACAAACTAAACAATTTATACCGTATATAGAAATACTAAGAAACAAAAAAGAAACAATATGATAGAAATTCATGATAAACAGATGGACAAATTTTGTCAAATATAGTCAAGGGAAAAACTAGTCCTATTATGTTACTACAAAACAATGCATTAGAAAATGAGGGAGAAATCAAAATTTCATCCAAAATAACCCCTAGACAACATTCTAGGAGTAAAAATAATTTTTTAAAGTGTTGTGTCCTAGCGGCACAGCTATAGCACACAAAAAGCCGCTGTAGGGGCTGCAATTACAGCTATTGAGAATTACTCTACTATTTGAATCCAATTGCGGCCAGGTCATCCTGCTCCGCTATAAAGTGCATTAATGGGAACATGGTGGGACTTGACAAAGATGAAACACATCAACAACTAGTATGATTATTGATCAAAAATACGATTGACTTGGATATCTTATTACCTTTGTATTGGGACTACTGAAGAACTTGGTAATAAAAGGATGATTTCTCAAATCATTGTTAAAGATAGTCACAACAGGCTGACTAGATTGTTCAACAAACTTCTCTAGAGCGTCCACATGAAAATCCTGCAAGCATGAGACAGTTGCACGCGACCAAAATAAGATTAAAAAAACACAAAATAAGATTGAACAATCAGTCCACAAAAATCAAACACTACCTGAAAGTCAACAAAAAGTTCGTCAAATGGCTTGAATAACCTAACTATGGGCCCAGCAACTGATGATTCTCCTCTTGGAAGGTGTTTGGCACTCAGAGTGTGACCAAACTCATAGTCATCACGCAACTTCTCTGCTAACACAGTGAAGTTATAGAACTCCTCCCCAGAAAATTTCGGAAATACTCCAACCTGAACACATAGGAGAACATGATTCCAGATCACCGTGACTTAAAATAAAGCAAAAATTGGTTGGTCACTTACAATAGCAACTTTATCTTCAATAAAAGCGGTAGCATCATCAACAGATTTAATTTCAGTTGAAGCGGGACCACTTTGTTTCTTCAAATAATCAGCGATTCTATCTGCTACGCGGGGACCTTTGTAATCTTGAACATTCTTTCCCCCATTTCTAAGAATCCTAATTGTTGGGTAAACCTTAACTTCAAATTCTGCAGCAATGTATTTGTTGTTCTCATCATCGGCGTCAATTTTAGCCAATATAACCGGAGGATCATGACTACTCAAGATAGAAGCAGCTTTTTCATACTGCAGAGACAAATATACTACAAATCAGCATTTGCATAATCTTACCATCAAAGGGAAACCCAAAACTAAAGGTGAATAAAATTACCTCCGGAGCAAGTTTTTTACTGCGCTCACACCTAAAAATGAAAAAGAAAAATCATATAAAAATCGAATCGGTTTCAATTTAATCTATTTGAACCTAAACAAAATGCAGCAAATCTCCTCGCTGGAACAAACAATTCGACCAAATGATTTAAAATGCAAATCTAGTACTTACCCATTCAAAACATGCAGTGCATGTATTACATTAAAATGTACTAAAAAAGTCCAAGTATTTGCAGCAACCTGATGTTACTGATTTTTCTTGAACATAATAGTAACGTCCCTGCCTTCAAAATGCATTTCAACAGTCATGTTTTTTCATCTCTTCAAAGAGTATTTAAACATGTTTTAAATCGATCACAGATTTTTGGTTTTATTCTCTTAAAAAAAAATCTTATTTTTAAACAATTTTTAATTGTTCTTTACTATTAATTATAGTTAATTTAATACATGAATAATATTAATTGAAATAATTAAGGCATCAAAGATATTTTTAGGTTAAAATAATTACATTATCCAGATACAGAATTCAATTAATAGAATATTATTATATTATATTATATTATATAAATAAAATAATTACATAGAATTCACTTATATAATTTATTTGTATATCATTTTATAATTAAACTTATATAAAAAACATTATTTATCTATACTATAAATAAAAGAAATTGAATTATGCAACTGTTTTTTTTTTACTTCCTTTCCATTTTACACTTCATATAATATTATTAATTTTCTATTTTTTTTAATATTTTTATATTAAATTATAATTTTATGTTTAATATTTTAATATCCATTTTTATAAATATTTTTTAATTATAAATTCTAATTATTAATTTAATTATTTTTTAAAATTATAAATTTTTTTTAATATATTAGTCAATTTTTATGATTTTTTTAATATAGACACAAAGGCAAAAAGGGCCTGTGTCACTACATAATGCCGTTATTGTGTCACTGTTATGTAATATAAAATAAAAATTATATGTGATTAAATTATTTAAATGACATTTTGTTAAAAAAAAAAGGTTATTTAACAAAACTAAAAAAAAAATCATAATATATTATAATAAATTATGCCACATTATCTTATTTATGTAAAATAATAAATATTATGCACCTAAAATAAGTTGATTTTTTTTTTAACTTTATTGATTTCAATTCATGTCTTTATTTATTTTCAGCACTAATTTAATTATGGTTAATAATAAGGATTACAAATCTAAAAGATGCAATACCTAACATAAAAAAGATGGCATTTTAAGGATTTTGAAGCCTTAAATGTATTACATTTGTTTGATTTACGTAGGTCAAGTAAATCAAATATAATGTTGAGATTCACTAGAGTTTCAAAATAATTAATTTTTTTCTCTAATATTATACTTGAGTGACATTCAATATGTCCTAGTAACGTTATTTTTATCATTATCTTTGGGTCACGCAATTTAATTGTTTTAATAAATACAACTACCCTAAAAAAAGTGAAAAAATATAAAAAATTCTAAAATATATATATATATATATATATATATATATATATATATATATATATTTAAAAATATTAAAAGAAAATAAATTGAAGAATAAAAAAAAAAAAAAAAACCAAGATCTTTCTCTTGAATAACAGCACTAGAAATTTCCATCAACATTAAAATGATTTTAGTGCATAGTTTTCTTTTTTCTGAAAAATTATGAAAGTTTTTTATGTCGATAATATTTAATAAAATATTGAAGTAGAAGTGATCGGAAAGCAGAATCGGAACATACCCTGGTGAGTAGAACATGACGACGATGAGATCATGGTTCTTGACAGTGTCGGAAAAGTTAGAGTGATCCAAAGTGAGAACGAACTCTTGAGCCTCCGATTCGAGAGCAGAGATTTGCGAAGGAAGTGAGAGAAGAAGAGAGAACACGAACAGGAACGAACAAATCGTAAGTTTCACCGCCATTGTTGTTTCCTCTGAAGAAGAAGAAGAAACTCCAAAAGTTTGGTGAGGTTTTCAGCATACAAGAGGGTTTTGTAGGAACAGCAACGGAACCCAAAAAACGAGTGCAGGGTTTTTTTTTTTACAAGAAAAATTTGTAATTTTGGTGTTGGCTCCATGCTCAATACTCTGGCCACGCTGGCACACTTTTTCTTACGTGGCTCAATCTCATTTGTCCACTCTTGTCACATCGACGTTCTTAATTTTTTTACAATTTTTTTTAGTTTTGTTGTTTAATAATATTTATAAATGATTGGATATTTATTTAAAGATAACACAATAAAGATTGTGTTGTCATTTTCAATCATATCATCTCTTTAAATCACATCATCTTTCTAATATAAAATTCTAAACCAAACTTAAACTTGATATGAAGTTTTTATCCCACTGCACATAACGTGGGCCATGAAAATTGATTACTTTCGTATAATTATAAGTTAAGAAATATATTAACGTTGCATGCATACGGTGGATGCAACTGCACCACCGTCAAGTTTCACTCTGAAAATGACATGCAGAGGTGAACACAGTTTGGTTTGCAAAATCTGAACGATCATATTGTATTGGAGGTGAATCCATGCATACCTTTGAGACCATGAGGAAGACCCTATTACTTGCTTAAACTATTGAAGTTTGTTTGTGAGGATAGATCTACAGAAATCATTTTGATAATTTTTTAAGTTCATAATTCTCCATCAAGGATTTAGTGAGAGCTCTTCTACCTCATTCTGTTGGGGTCCAATTCAAATTGTTGTAACTTTTTTTGTTGTTGTTGTTTTTCTCTTTCTTTTCCTTATATTTGTTTACCAAGAAAAACATTAAGCCTATAAATCTGATTAAATATGACTATGATTAGATTTTCAGGTTAATATATATATAAAAGGGACTAGAAAGAGTATATATTAGCTGGAAATTTATTCATTGATAATTTTTTTTAAAATTAACATGTTATCTATTTTAAACTGGGATATATAATAAGATATATTTTAAGATTTTGACGGAAAATAAATATATATTTTTAAAAATAAAAAGTTAAAATTTTAATTCGCTGCACTATGATCACATATATTGCGATAACACAGTTAACTAATTCACAAATATGTTATATATGCTATTATTTAAAATAGAGTAACATTTTATATGTTGTTATCTAATCACAAATTAATGTCATTGATTTTTGAAATAACAATTCACAAACCACCTTGTATTAAAAAAATTTCAGCAAGTTAGTGAATTAATTTTTTTAAATCATGAAAAAAAATTCAAGAAATCATTCATTTGAACGGAGCAGAGTTCAAGTTCCTTAAATAGTATGTTCAATTTTGCAAATAGAAAAAAACATAATTAGTAAGAAAAGCAAAAAAAAAAAAAAACTGAAAAGAACAGTTAGTGAAATTTTGTTCGAAAGTTAAAAATAAATACTCGCACCTATGTATAATGGTAAAAAAGATGGTGAAAAATAAACCGTGGCATTTTCAACTAATCTTCTTAATTGAAATTTAAAAATAAAATGAACATTTACCGGGTCCAACCCAAGCCTTACCAGGTTCTCTCAACAACGTCGGGGAAAAAGAAGATCACCCGTCAAAATCCATGGTTGCATGTGAGTATCAAAACTCACCGGTCAGTCAGTTTTAGCTTACCTAACAAAACTTCCAAAAAAAAGAAGTAATTTACTTCCGGTCCTTTTGATAAGAAAATAAGAAGGTGAATAAAATAAATAAGTAAAAAAATATAATAAAATATGAATTCCACAATTTATAATCTCCTTCCGATCCATTTTTTGACATCCAAATAAGTTAATTTTTTTTTTCCTTTCAATTCGTCTGCATTCCATTCTATTTCAGTTCTATGTAGGGGTTTAGGGTAATAATTCATTGTTGGTTTGGCAGTTGACACGGTTGTATACTGTATTTACAACACTCCCTTGACTGTGAACTCCATTCTATCAGTGTCTCCCGTTGCTTCAGAAACAAAAATTCCAGATTCCTCCATTGGACTAGTGAACATTGCTTTCATACTCAGCACACAATCAACTCTTCCATCACAGAAGGAAGGAATCAAAACTGCAGGCTGGAACTTATGTTTTAATTCACCAGATCATTCCTGAATCTTGTACAAAATTTCCCTGCTTCCTCTGATAAGATCCTACTCCTTCCTAGGCATATGGAACATATACAGTCCAGCTACTACAAGTTACAACCAATCAATCAATAAACGAATTTTTTTTCTGTACAATATTTCCCCTAACTGTAGATTGGGTGTTACTGGATACCCAAACCCTTCATTGCTGAAACATATTTCAAGCAAACGCTTTTCTACAGAATAAGACTAACTATAGCTGCAAAACTGGTGGGTTAGTTCTAAATCTTCCAAGTACAACCCCTAAACTCCCCCAATCAATTCATACTAGTAAATATTGTGACGTCAAAAGAAACAAAATAGCTGGAGTCTCTAGGAATCCCCAGCAGCATTTTAAAGCCTGACTTGTTCATGAGCTCTCACCACCTCTGAAGTGAAACTCTCTAATGTCTTAAAAATGGGAATCAAACCAGCCTGTAAACTATTATTAGCTGCATCACGAACAAGTTTGATGGCTTCTTTTTGCCTGAACCTCTCTTCATGCAACTTTTTCTTCATAGAATCTAAATCCACTTTTAGATCATCTAGTGATGAAACACCGCTATCAGAAGTGAACTTCGACAATGCAGTCTTTCCTGAAACTGTATCATGATCTGAGCCTCCCATTTCTGAGCGCAAAGTTCTAAGCTGTTTCTCGAAGTCCTTTCTGAGATACTCTGCCTTGATTCTCTGGCGTTGCGCCTCATCTTGCCGTTCCCATAACTCATGTAGTTTTAGAGCAAATTCATGCATAGATTCTGCCACCCCCGTTTCTGAAATTCTAGTCATGGCTTGATGCCAATCATTGCAAATTATAAAAACTGGTGGAGCATCAAGCCGACTTGGAGAAAAAGGGGCAATACCATCAGCTGTTTCTTCAGGTTCATTAGGAAGGCATCTCATGAGCCAATCATTCAAATTCTTGACGTAAGATTTTTGAGTCTTAACCCAAATGTTGAACTGGCTGCACCAATTCAATAGCTCCTTTTCGAGTTCAACAATGGCCTTCAGACCTTCATCTCCTTGCAGACCAACGTTAATCTTAAGGGACTGACTTTTACTTTCCATGATAGCTTGGAACTGTTTTTGGTGGCATTTGAGCATGAATTTCCACATTCTTATGAATCTGCTGACAAATAGGCTATTCATCAAATCAATAGCTCCATAACTTCTAATTTAAGAAAAACAATTCAACCGTCTTGAAAAAAATAATAGATTAAGCCATTTCAAAACCAAATTGGATAATGCTAATAATGATGGTGTAAACACATCTTGAACCACTAACCAGTGATTAGAGATAATCACAGAAGCCTATTTCTCATCAATCACTATCCCTCTATACAACTTGAGACAAAATCCTCAATGGAATGTCTGATTTGGCACATAAAGTACCTTGCCACCATCAATTATTTGCCTCTTGCATCCACGGGCATTAATAATGACAGCAAGATTTTTAAATTGCAAACTCAAACATTCCATAAGGGATTTCCCATTCTTAGGTGAATGAGGGAGTTGCATTGAGCCAATTGAACTGTGGGGAACAAAACTGTTAATTGCAGCATCTAAGGAGGAGAACACAGGGTTCTACTCAATTAATTTGTACCAAAGAGGAAACAATTATAACAGTTAGATCATTAACTATGGTCATAATTCATAGACATTAAAACATGGCCAAAAATGATGTAAAACTTAAAAAAGTGGCTCTGACGTGTTTTCCTAATCTTTATAAGGGAAGGAGAGACCAAACAAATTACACATTGAAATAATAACAAAAAAGCCTTTTGACACTATTTTCTTGTAAAAATTTTAAATGTGCGTGAACAGAAATAAATAAGCAACGAAAGATAAATATTAGCATAATGAATAAGTGAAGCAATTCGATACCCAGTAATCAATGCTGCAAGTTGAGGATGCAATTCGTTATCCCTCAATTTATGTATTCTTCCCATTATAGTTTCAGCAGTTCTGATGCAAATATTGATTTTTGTTTGCAACTTCCTAATAGATGCTCTAGTAGCATCAATTTTACTAGATTCAGCTCCTAGATTATCCAATGTTTTCAGTCTCTTGAACTGTTTCTCATAAATGGCTCGTAACCTCTCTTCATCCTGAGAACAGGGCAAAAATATAAAATTCATAAGCATAATTTGAAATCAACAGAAAGTATGACATTACCTAAAGCCACTTATCAATACATGTGGTATAATCTACAATTTATTGATTAATACAAATAACTAATCATTGCATATGATGCTGAATATGCATGACATTGAAAATAAATGTTATTGAGTAATGAAGTTTCAAATTATATCCCATCCTTTCCAACAACATGAAGGTGTATAAACAGGAAACTATATCATAAGGAATTTAGAAGCCTTTGCCCTCAACAAGTAGGTCATAGCAAATCAGTTAGATGGATATCAAACCATGAATAGCTCAACATTTCTAACTTCACGATTCATTAAAATCGAGTAATTTGAAAATAATCATACACATACCTTAATTTCCTTATACAATTTCTTCTCCCATGCGTAAAGTTTCTCCAATGTGGATGAAAGATTTTCTGGAGTTGTCTTGAAGTCTTTCCCAGGTTCCCCACAGTATGTTTGTGCCAATTTTATTTCCCTAGAAGAAAATTGTATAGATGGAGGTTCTGAAGGTAACCTGGAAGGTGCTACCATCTGCAAAATTCTGGAAAAGATAACTGCAAAAAAACATGTAACATAACAATACATTTAGTTGATCAAGGTAAACTCATCATAAATGAGATATGGAGAATAAAAAAACACAGATTTTAATAATAAATCCCCACAAATACGCAAACATGTATGTATGTATGTATGTATGCATGCTTGCAGTAGAAAAATCATCTGAATGATTCAGTTTACTTTAAATCAAACTGCATCAGCATTTTGTTCAGGCACAAGCCTAGGAAGCTAGAGTAAAGATAAATAAAACAATATTTAACTTGGTCAACAGTTGACCACACAATCTGGTATCGCCTGCAGTCTGTCTATACACTGACTATATTTGTTTTAGAGAGGAGACAAAAGGTGAAACAGTGCAGAAAAAAAAGAATGAACAGAAGAAAACTGTGATGAAACCACAAACACATCTTATAAAAGTAATAATATTCAGCATAAGAAATATTCTGCCTGTGGAACTCATGCTTACCAAATCAACAGAAACTTATTACAGTAAGTTGTAAATTATACTGTTTTACAATAAACGTGCTTCTATTTAATGAAGTATTTAGCTTGCCTTTTTCTCAATGCTATCTAACTTTTGTTGAGATTATGTTGTTACACAAATACAGAAAGATCATCACACAATCAAACCAGTGTAAACGTAATGATCTTCGAATTGCATAACTCAGCTTATTCTAGCAAGTTAAAAGCACGCTGCCAAAGCCAAAATAAAAAAACACAACAAAAAGACAAGAAAACAACTCTAGCTATGTTTCAATTGAAGTTGGGAAAATATTTATGCGAATTTCAATGCACATTGGTAAATGCCAAAGCACAAAATGGAGAAATAATTTGTTACTTTTGAGAATAAAAGTAAATTTGAACTCTCCCAACTGAAATCCAAACATGCACTCAGCTGGTATACAGGCTGTGGTGTTTCTCACATGTTTCTTAGTTCCTTACGAAAGAAGACCCCTTCCCTTTTGAGGAACAACAAGTATAAAAGAACAACCATACAGACAACTGTGTGTTCTAGTCCTCGGAGTCGGATTCATCCCAGCTATTTTCTAGAAATCATCATTGATCAAAAGCCACAACAGGCTCTAGATTTATAAGGAGGATCTATATCTAGACCAGCAAAACGCAATTGTAATAAAAAAAGAAACTAAATCTAATACAATCTAACAAAATGTAAAGGATAAAGCAAAAAAAAAAACTAGCTTATTCTAGCTCTAACTTAATTAGAAGAGAATCCTAAATCAAAAACCCTAATTATAAAGCCAAAGTCCCAAAAGGAGCAAATAAGCCAATCTACGTCACCCTTCCTTCCTCAACGGTCCACAAGTTCAGCAAAAGAAGCAAAATGTGCCAAATCCTAACACTCACACATCACCATGTACAAGTTCCACACACAAACAAAAAACTGCATCCAATAAAGGTGAGGCATAAGTCTTTTAACATTTAACAAGAAAGGACAAAACGCTTATACCTCTAAGTGCAGCAACCCTAGACCGATAAGGCGGTTTGCAAACCTCAAGCAACAACGCAACCTCTTTCCCAAAATTCGACGCTGTCACAAACTCATCCTGAATCTCCTCCATAACCTCACGCAGATCCCTGGTACCGTGCGCAGACAAAGTAGTTACACTACTCAGAACGGAAGACTCACCGTCCACAGTCGTAACCGGCGCTTCATCAATCTCGAAACTCACCCCTTTCTTCGCACCACGCTCTTCGGAAACAACAGTGTCGGGACTGCTCTTAATCTCTTTCTCAATGGAACTGTTATCGCTGCCCTCATGGAACCTCACCGTCTTGGAACTCCCCTCGCTGCTACTCACCTGCTGCAACGGCACAGTTTTGGTGTTCGAAGGCCCTTCTCCGAAATCCCTCGCTCCAGCGGACTCCTTTTCCACTTCCACCTTTTTCTTCTCCTTCGGCGGAGCCGCTCTCGCGGCTTCCTGCTCCATTTCGTCCTCCAATTCGGGAATTCCCTCTCTCTCCCTCACCTCCTTCGAATCGGGACTGCTAGCGCTTGACCCCAACCGAGGGGGATAACTCGGGTACCCGTTCTCGAAGTTGTCGAAGAAGTTGAGGAAATCCCAAGTGGATACGCGAGGGGGAGAGGGCGGAGCGGGAGGAGGAGGAGGCGACGCAGAAGACGACGGACCCGGAGGAGGGTAATAAGGGTAATCCCCACCGGGATATGGGTAGAAACCATAGCCATAAGAAGGATCAGGCCATTGTCCAATTGTTGCCACATGTCTCTCTGGTTCTTCATATATCATGGGTCTTCCATTAGGGACAGACCTTTTCATGTAATGGGCATATTGGTAATTTTGATAGTACCCGAAATGAGGTGGGTCAGGTTCTGGGGAACCATGAATGTTAGGCGAAGAAGAATGGGAGTGTGAGTGAGAATGAGAATGAGAGTGAGTAGGAGAAGGTGAACTCAATTCGGATCCAGAAGAGAGAGGCAAGTGAGAATCCTCGTGGGAATCCCCATGAGAGATTGAAGCAGGAGAGGATGAGAGTTTGTTATTGTTGATGCTTTTGGTCTCTGAGGGTAATGTAAGAACCGGGGAGGAAGAACTGGTGGTGGTGGTGGTGGTGAGGTCTTGCTCGGCGAATTTGCGAAGCGCACTCCCGATTTCCCTCAGCGAATGGAAATACGCCACATGTGCCGCGGCCAGAGCATAGCGTTGCTCCGATGCAGCTTTTAACAACCCCTTCCGCTCTCTGCACAGAGCCACCGCGGGGAAGTCCTCCACCTTGGAGACACTGCAACCCATGTCAGTGAGCGGAGATCAGAGATAGAGTTGCCGATGTCCACGCCGGAAAACATGGTTCAGCGCCGCACTGGTACATGATGACGGCGTCGCATAAACAAAGAGTTGTTGCGGTTTGGTTTAAATATTTGAAGGGGTGAAGGGTGAGTGTGTGTGCATGGAAGAGGATCGATGGGGAGCAAGACTACTACAGCGAAGATTCCTGAGAAATATTTAAATACTGATTTTGAAAATTGAAAGAAAAGACGGTGGGGAGGATGTTATGTGATAAAATATTAAAGAAAAATTGTATTGAGATTGGTGATGGTGGGGATCTGAATTTTGATGTTGGTATTTGAACTGAAAGAAAATATTTTGAGATTTATTGAAGTCGGAGAAAATGAGAAAAGGGAAGAAAATGGAGAAGGAAGAGACCCGCCATTGGCAACGGACCCCTTTCATCATAATACCTTCTCATGCTTCTCTATTTATTTATTGGTTTATTTATTTTTATCTCTGTTTTAAGATTTAATGTTTATTTGGATGCTTCGCGGTCGCACTGTCGCAGTAACTTCGACCACCTTCACCTGCTTTGGTTTCAGATTCATTCCACGTGGTATCCAATTCCACGTCAATATTCTGCTTCTGGCGCTCCATTCCTTGCAATTCCCAATTTCAATGTTCCACCCTTACCTATATACATATTTTCTCTAATTTTTCATTCATATTTTTTTTATAAATTAAATTTATTTTATGTTTAATTTAACTTGTTAATATTTTTATTATTGTAAATTGATTGTACATTCTTACCTTATTACACTCAAATTATTGTTGGTTTTAAAGTTTTGATTTACTTATATTATAATTTATATCTCTTAAATTCTTAATAAAAAATAAGTCCCTTTCAATATACTTTATTTTGTAGTTTAGTTTTTTTATTTTTATTATTATACTAAATAGATAATCGGTTCATTAGTTAAATTTTATTTAATAGAATTTACCTTATAAAGCAGGTCCACTATTGACTGAGATTTGATCTGGCATATGATCTGGTATGGGTGTAATTCATTAAGTGAGATTAAAAGGACTTAATTACAAATTGATGTAACGTCTAATCTTATTAAACTTTATCTTTGAAATGTGCAGTATCTTATCTGTGCTATACTAAAATAATCATTTTATTAATTATTTTCTGATTGAGACAGACTACTTGACATCTAATAATAAAGGCCTTGATTACCTTTGCAAATTATGTTGAATTTATTAGAATTTATTTGATATATATATATATATATATATATTTATTTATTGTTACCCTTTATTCAAAACATAATTTCATTTTTAGATATATATATATATATATATATATATATATATATATATATATTAATGAGTGGATAAAATATCAGATTTAGAATTTTTATAATTTTAGTCTATATTAAAAATTAAGTCAAAATATATTACTGATATTTTTAAAGTTTAATTTGCAGTTATTTACTTTATAAATGGAACATTTTTTTTCAAACTTTTAATATAACGTACTTCTAAAAATTCAAAATATCATTTTCTAATAAATGTGTTTACTCCTTTTAACTTAAAAAGCTTAATATAAGAAAAGTCTAATATATTGTTAATTAAAATTTAACATACGATGTTTAACAGTTTCATGGTTTATTATAAATTTACATGAAAATGCATTGACAATTAATTAAAAATTTTAAATAAATTTTAAAATTAATAATATTACTATACCATGATTTATGTCAATATAAAATATTTGTACAACTTTACATAGTTTATTTATTTTCATTAAATTCTTAATTATAATTTCTTTTAAATTTCAATTGCATAAGTTAATTATATTGTTAAAATAACTATGTAAATATTGAGCCATGACAAAGATTATTAACATGTATTATTATGTTTGAATATTATCAATTGAAAAAAATAAAATAATTAAAGTGTGAAGATAAGTGACTTCACATCTTTTTTTCATTAACTTAAAATACTACAGTTAATTGATTTGTGTTAAAAACTCCTTATCTTAGAAGTAAAAATGTTATTTTTTTTTCTCTATTGAATCACATTTTAATGGTCTTATACTAGAAAACAAAAATCCTAGGTATTGAATTTAAAAAAATGGATCTTTAAAATAAATAATTAAACACAATAATTTATTTAAATATATTATTTTTGTTAAAAATACTGAAAACTTTATATTGTTCATTATTGTACACCTGAGTAAGCACATATCACTTATATATTTCAAAATTACAATATCAATAAACATTTAGTTGACTACTTTAGCTATTATATAAAGAAAATGCTTTTTCCGTAATTATAAAATATTCAACAACATTTGTTATATTGAAAACTTGTAATTAAATACCACAATACTACTATCTTTTATGTGAAATTTAGTTAGTTTTATCTGTTAAAATAATAATAATAATAATTGGCAATAATTATGTGAATTTTTTTCTAAAATATATATCAAATTAAAAACGTGTAAAAAAATATATTGAGAGAACATATTTGGATTAAAAAAATTCATAAAAACTTTTAAAATATATAAAAAAAGTTAAGTTAAAGTTAATTTATATATAAATTTAATAAAGTTATTTTGTATATAAGTTAACTTTAATTATAGAAAAATTCATTTTATTGTTTTTTTATAGATAAATTTGTCCAAACATATCTTTAATATTTATAAAACCTAAAATTATAACTTAATCTTAAATGTAAAAAATAATAAAATAACTTATGATTAAACGATTAGTTTATTTTAAAATTTATGACTTTCCGTTAAACTAGTTTACAAAATTTATCAATAAAACGTTATATAAATTTAAAAATTAAATATTTATTTATTTAAACAGTTAAATTAATGACATTTTATTCATTAGTCCGTTCACACAAAAAAAATGCAAAGGAGAATCACTTTCTTTGAAAATGTTCAAAGATTAACCATTAATGACTTTTAAAAAATATGTGATTCTTTCTTATCATAAATGACAAATAGTCCCAATTGCAATTAATAAATAATTATCAAAATGTCAACCATAGAAAGAAAAAGTTTACTGTGTTAACTTTAGAATTTATTAAATATAATTAGTTTGTAATAGTGCTTAATTTCTTAGCATATTTTGCATGATTTGTGTGTTAATTAGAGTTACATATCTATAAAATATTAATTTTATAATAAAGTGGTGAAATTTAAATTTTATTTTAAGCAATTTGTTTCTTTATATATTTTATTATTAACTTATTATGTTAAATTAAATTAATTATATATTTTATTTTATAAATAAAAATAACTTTACAAATGGGGAGTCACTTAACTTAACACATGTATCTAATTTTCTTTAATTAAAATGAGTTCCAAATTTTAAACTTAGGCATGTAAAAAAAATGTTATTTTGTTTTAAGAAAAGTCAAATAGTTAATTAATTATATCATGAATGTTTGTGATTTTAATTAAATAAGATTTACATTAAAATTAAAATTTATGATTTTTTAATATTGTCATATCTTAGTCAAAATAAAAAATAGTTTGAATGATATTTAATAATACAAATTGTTGTTATAATTAATAAAAAATTGTTTTTTTCTTTTAATTAAAATGATTTAGATTTAGATTTTATTTGTTTTAAAAATATTTAATAAATTTGTATATTTTTAAAAAAAATTATTGCGTGAATTTTACTCACAGTTTTAAAGATTTTTTTTCATCAGTTCTTTAAAATTTTTAAAGAAATTATAGTTAAATATTCTATATTAAAATATGAAACTTATTATTACAAAAATGGTTTAAACAAAATACACCAAAAAAGAGAAAAATGTGGTTTTGGTTGGTAGAAGATAATGGCTTAAATGATTGGTGCCACAATGTCATCAACTATACACAACTATCCCAGTAGCTACCCCTTGAGTAAGACACAAGTCATTAAAAAAAAAAATTATTTTATTTTAATTTTTTTACTAAAAAATAACTATTACTCGACCAAATTTCAAAGAAAAAAATCTTTTTCCAATTACTTATCAATATATTGTTCTATTACACACGAGAATTTGACTTAATAAAAAAAAAACTTGTTTTTGTCGAAAAAGTCAATAAATTTTATTTTTTTAGACAGTGTTTTTAACTTCTTTTATATATAAAAAAATTGTTTTTAAATTCATAAATTGTAAATATTAATTTAAAAACCTAACTAAATTGATATGATTTAGGCATTATAAAACTTTACAAACTTTTCATTATTTTTCTTATTTTAATTTTTAACCACTATAAACAATTTTATGTGTGCTAGATTTAAAAATTTTATGTACAACATGGATGGTATAGATAGGTTCAATACATATATAATACTATAATATATTACAAGAGGAAAAAATAATAAGATTTCTCTTTCAATCAACTGTTTACATAAAAATTAATTAAAATTAAAAATCAACAAATAAAATGTATAAATTAATGATCATTTATTATTTTCATTTTATCAAATGAAATAATAATTATTAATTTATTTCTACAATAACAAATTACAGATATTTTAAAATTATTAATAATTAATAGACTAATTTATTAATTTTAATATAACATTCAAATTTCTATTAATGATTTCGTTATTGAATTAATATGATCCATTATTATTTTTTTATTAAAATAACTTTTAATTATTTATAATAATACATTGTAATTAGTATTTAAACAAACTAAAGTTATTAATCCATTAATTTAACATAATACTTAATGATTTCGTTATATAAAGCATCTAAGTGAAAATTTGAATTAATACTTTCAATTAATTATCTTTTTTTAATTTAAATAATAAAATAAAATTAATATTTAATTTACCAGCTAACAGTGAAAAAAAAGTTTAGAATTCGGTATACAATAAGGATATGAAATAATATTCTTGGATAAATATTCGAGAAAATGCATTTTACTATTTAGTTACATTCAAATATTAATTCATATAATCCACCAAAACTTGTTCAAACCAATATAATATATGATAAACAAAATAATTAAGTTATTACATATCACCAAATTTCAGTTCTTTAACTTAAAGTATTATAGAGTGAAAAACTACTTTCTTTTATTTTTCAATTTACTTATTTCAAGTAAAATCTCTAAATACTTTTAAAACTATAAGAAATTAAATAACGTTTAAAAAATATAATTAACAAATTAAATATATAACCATAATTAGGGATTATATTTGTAAAACAAAGTGTGAATAGTTGTAGACTTATATGCAAAACCCTAATCTTATATATACTTAAAAAAAAAACTATTTTTTTTAATTATTTTTGGATAGAAGTGAAAGGACTCTAAGTCGGAGAGATAATGATTTTTATTAATATTTAAGTTGGAGATATGATGATTTTTATTAATATTTGTGTCAACTTATTTTAGGAAATGTTGATTATCCATTTATCTTAATCACTTCAAAGACTTACAATAATATGATTTTTACACTATTTACTTATATGTACTTAAAGAAAATATTTAATTCATAATATTTATTATGTTTAACGAAAATATTTTTATATTAATATATAATATGATAGTAATATATAATTAATATTTACATTAGATAATAAATAAGTATAACTTATTATCTTAAATATTTTAAATAAAAAATAATTTATTCTTTTTTAATATTCTTATATTAACTTTTTTTTTTCAAATTTTCTAAAAAAAGGTCGAAAATCTCATTTGTTTCTATATTCTTACGGTACACTTGTTATAAATTGATTTTATATTAGAATTTTAAAAAAATAATTTACTTATATACAGATAATTTAGATTTTTTTAAGCAATCGTATTAAAAAATAAGAAAAAAAATACAAGCTAAAGTATCGACATTCATTTATATAGTTTTAAAAAATAATTTAATATTTGAAATTAGCTTAGTATTTAAAGTGTGTACAAGTATCTGTGGAGAGGGTAAATTTTGTGGCTTAATTTATTGTTAAAAGTTAGATGTGGAGTCGTTGTTACGCGGGACTAGAAGGAAAAAAAAAAGCATCCTAGAAAACTAACCCAACAAATAATTTTGTTCCTTTTAAGAAAACCTCTACCAATGTTTGTGTTAGTTTTTGGTTTTAGGGGTTGATCTAGACACATAATTTGGTTCAGTAATTAAACCCTAAAATATAAGTGGCACCTGCATGTGAGCGTTGATGAGGGTGGAAGAGGACCCTATAATATTTCTCTCTTTTACTTTCTCCCAACTCCACCTCAACACACATGCATTACAAAACCAGACAACAAAGCCACGCAATGGACACAATTTTTTAACCACTTTTTTAGCAAGTCAATTACCAACATCATGACCCTGTCACTTTTTTTTTTTTTCCTGTTTATCCATTAAAGACCAATCCAACTTATGATATTACAATAATTATTTATTTAATGTATTTTTTTATACATAATTAAAGTCAAACACATATTTAAATATTACACAACTATCAAATAGTTTATCTAATTATACTTATAAATCATATAATACATGAATAAGTATGTTTTTAGTTTATCTAATTTGTGTTTACATTTATTTTAAATTATTAAATTCAATACTTTGATTTTAGAAAACATGTATTCTTTATTTTTTTTACTTAAGTTAATATTAACTAAATTCATAAAATACACTTTTTTTTAAATTAAGGATTAATTAATCAATAATATATTTAATTTTATATTATATTATACACAACTTTTTCCTCTTTTATTTTATTCTTTTTTAAAAGAGCGTGTCTATGTGTATAATCCGCGTAAAGATTGAGTTGTTATTGTAATTAAAAATCGGATTTTTTTTATATCCAATTTGTGTTAGAAAAAAAATATTTATATTATATTCTTGTTGATAACAACTTTAATTTTTATTTATATGTTGCTTTAAATACTTATATACCTGTATGATTATCCATGTTTACTTCAATATAAAAGTTTAGAGGTATAAGGAAATTTATATATAAAAAAAAAGTTAATACTATAAACTTTGATCTTGTTTTATTTTATTATTAATTATTAATCATAAGATTGTTTATTAAGTATTTCTATTGTTTTATAAGTATTACAAAAGAAAATGTTTCTTGTTAATGATTGGAACATGGTTGAAGTGTTGGACGGGATCTTTGAGAGTGTAGAAAACATGAGCATCCAAAGAAGAGAAGGAAGATGCAAATGAAATGCATAAACAGTGAAGTTAAAGTTCCAAGAATTCAAATTTCAAAGTCTGGAGCTTTGTCCCTTTTGAAAAAAAAAAAAAAATGAAAGGGAAAAGATTCGGAGATAGAATTGAATTTTTCTACGATTTGAGACAGTGCTTAATTGGTTCCTCAGAGTTGTCAACACCAGAATCTAATTCTGGTGCAGCTCACACAGAAAATGAAGCATTTGAGGGTCCCATGCATGCATTCATCGTCTTTCTCCCCCCTTTCTCCACCCAAATTCTTTTCTATTCTTTCCCTTTCCAATCAATTTCTCTCAAACATTTATTTATTGGGGACACATTTTCAGGGTTAGGGATTTAAATGTTACAATAGCAACTGTACTAAACCTTTTTTTTTTTTCTGTACACATTTAAACAAATTCACTTATAAAAATATAAATTTTAACCTATTATTAAATTTTTATATATTAATAATAATTATTAGAATAAATTATTATTTAAAATCATTAAATTGAACAAAATAAATTATAAAAACAACAATTTTATTTTAAATAGGTGCATTTTTTTCTCATTGTATAATTATTTAATTAATTAATTGTTTTAATCGATTTCACGTAAATCAATTCATTTATAAATGTTTTTTCAACTCTAAACTTCTAATTTATAAGTTTTTAACGAGTTTATATAAATTTTAGCTACACTTTCTTTTTACAGTGAGAAAATATTAATAAATAAATGACTAATTCACATTAAAATAATCAAAGCTAAGTTTTATTCGTAGTAATTTATGTTTTTATATTTTTACATTTTTAATATATATTAAGTTTTAAAAATCTTAATATAGTACTTTGTGTTTTTAATTTTTTTTTTAATTTTAAAAAAAGTTAAGTTATACATTTTCTACGTTTTCATGTGATATAGACAATGACATGTACTATTTGCAAACTTTTCATAATAAATATCGCAAAATCTAGGTTGGAACGTGAAAATGCATGAAAACAAAGGTGACAAAAACGCACATAGAAAAAAAAATTGTACAAAACAAGTTAATAATGATACATCATTTTTTAAATATATTAGTTTAAAAATTAATATTAAAGATAATTTATAAATATATTTTTTCACTCATTTATCTATATATTAAAAATAAAATTATGATAAAATGAAAATATTTTTATTTATGAATGAAATAAAGTTTAATTTTATTTGTAACATTATTATTATTTTTATTAATATTCAGTTATTTCTATTGATTAATTATAATTATAATTCTTAATTTACTTTGCATATGTAAAAAAGAAAAACCAAAGCAGAGAGGAAAGACGTGTTTGGATAATGATAAATTTCAGGTAAAGCAAAACTACAAATCTAAAATACCAAAATTGAAATGAATGACAGAAAAAAAAAGTGTTGAAAATGAGAAAGTTATTTAGCTTTGTAGGAAAAAGTGATGAAAAGGAAAAGTAATTTTCCTTTTTTTTTTTCATTTTATTCGGCTTTTTGAAGATGATGAAAACCGTAGGCTAGTTTCTTTCCCAGTACCAAGATGCTCTACTACACTCTCCACCAAACACAACAAATAATTTTTTTTTTAATTTAATTCAATTACACACCACAACGCTACCAAATTTTAGGGTGGAGCATGAAATGAATAAGTCTCAAGATGAAAAAAATTCTACTCTACCGATTTATCAATTTAAAAGGTAATATTTCAAAAGTGTTTTTAGAATATTTTGTAAAAACAAATTTATATTTTTGTCAAAAAGTTATCAGTATATTTCTACAAATGTTTAAAAAAAAATTGGAATACATTAATCACATATTAATATAATTAATTATAAAGTATTATATAATTAATTTTAATGACTTTTTAATCTTTCATTTTTTTTATAATTTTTTTCTTCTTTATTTCTAAATCAAATTTCAATAATTTTTGTAATAAATTACCGGCAGTTAAAATTAAATTCATATATTATAATATAAATTATTTATAATAATTATAAATATATAATTTACATGCTCAAAATTATTTAAATATTATGAATATTAAATATGAAAAATTTATTTGTTAACAAATATTTATCTATTATAAATTTTAAAATAATGTGATTTAAAAATTTAAAAATATTTTTATTCTGTTTTTTTCTTACATAAAATAAACTGTTTCTCAAAATAAAATACTAGTTATTTTAAAAGTATTTGACACCAAAAAATTCATAAGTCATATTTATATACTAACTATTCATCAAAATTAATTTATAATTCTCAACTCACTTTAAACGCTGCTCTTAATGAAGGTTTTTTTTATTAGTTTCTTAATTAATACTTCTAATTTTTATATCCAATCAGTTTTCAATTATAATTATTTTATTTTATTTTTCAAAAACATTTTTTCTTTTACTAATCCTTTTGCAAAAATTTTATATTTTTAAAATTTGAAATATATATATTTTTAATAATTTCCTTATAAAATATTTTTTTAAATATAATAAAAAATATAAAATCACCCGTATAGTCTAGTTTGTTTCAATATTCTATTTAGTAGGTTTCGTAATGATGAAAGACTTGAGATTGTTTAAGAAATTACTACAAGGTAAAATATAAAGATAGTAATAAAGCAACAATTTATGAATTCTTTAACAATATTTGTCGTTATCAATCATTATTTAACTTTTGTCTAATGAAGCAGAAATAAAATAATGAGCAATTGAACACTTTAAATACTCATTTAATGCTTATACTTGTATAAATTTTCATTTATATACATACTTTTAAAATCTGATTAAATTCCTATAAATTTAGAGGAAAGATATTAAAATAAATTAAAAATATATAAAGAAACTATAACTAATAATTTTAAGTGTAAATATAAAAACCATTAAAACTGTGAATCTGAGCGTGATAATACAATGATTAATAAAATTGTAACATTGTATTTCGTGTAAATAATATTTTTTATCTTTATATTAAATTCACTGTAATTTTATATTTTCAGAGTTAAACTATGGTCATGGACCTTCATTATTAATTTTGGAAGGTCAAATAATATATTATTAATAAATAAATATAAAAAAAAAAAGAAAAGGTGAAAAGATAAAATTGTAAATATATACTTAAATATATTAAATGATCATTAAGTTTGAGGGAGACAAAATAATAAATTATACGAGAGTTACAAAATTAAGGAGGGATGAGAGGATAAAATTATAAATATACAAGTAAATATATTAAATATTTATTAAATTTGGGGACCAAAATCATAAATTACATGGGAGTTACAAAACTTTGAGGCCACGACCCCTTCAACTCCCAAGAAGATCCGCAAGTAACTAATATTCAAAATCCAATCAAATAAAATCATATCAAATTTAATAAAAAAGTAAATTAAATTAAACCTATTTAAATTAATTCCAACAAGTATCACATGAAACTAAATTAAATCAAATCTAATTGAATTCAAATGAATTCAACTACATTAATCAAATCCATCCAAATGGAATGAGATTCAATTAAATTAAATTAAATAAAACTTAATTGTACATAACATAATCTAACTAAATTGAACTAAATTAATATCAACAAAATCGATCTTAACAAAATTGAGTCTAACCGACGAAATTGAATTGAATCAAACCAAATCAAACTAAATTAAATCCAACGAAAATAAATCAAACTCAATAAATTCAACCAAATTGAACCAAAGCCCGATCAAACTAAACCAAACATATCCAAATCAAATCAAAGCTAATTAAACCAAACTTAACCTTACATAAATTAATCAAATCAAACCGAATAAATCTAAACCAAACTGAACCAAATTAAGTTAAACTAAACCAAATTGGAGCGAACCAAACCAGATCCAATCAAAGACAAACTTAACCCTATCAAACTAAATTGAATCAAAACAAATCGAACCAAGTTAAACTAAACTAAACCAAACAAATTTAAATCAAACAAAACTTAATTCGATAAAATTGAATTAAACCAAACCAAAGCAAATCGAATTAAAGCAAATCGAATCGAACCGAACTCAAGTGAATTAAACTATTCTACACCTAATCAAATTAAATCAAACTCGACCAGAAAAACCGAACCAAACCAAATTGATCTAAATCAAATCAAACCAAAACAAACTAAATCAAATTGAATGGAAGAAAATCAAATAAACTTAAACAAACCTAAGTCAACCTTTCAAATATCTCAAAAATAGTTAAACGGCGGCTAAATATTGAGATTATAAATTCATATAAAAAATCATTAAAAACGAAGAAAAATCAATTGAAAATAGTCTAAGTCCAGAAAATGCTTTGCAATCTTGTGCTCACACACCCTGCATACCGAGACATCAAGTTCAAGCCCATCCTTGGACATTTACTCCGTTGAAAGTTTCGTTTTCAAACTTTGTATCACATTGGAGAAAAGAAAAACAAAAACAAAATCTTCGTACAAGTACAACCTTGCAACCAGCAAAACATTGCATGTGTTCATAAGGAAAACGGTTGAATGTATTATTTGACAATTTCTAGCTTAATTTAGGGAGTAGTCAGAGCCAATAGAAGACGAAAACCAATAGAAGACGCAAAAATAGAAAACAGAAAAACAAAATCTCAGCGTTGCTTTATTGTTTGGTCCAGTACCCGTGTGACCACTTTGAAGGTTTTCGGAAGTTGTGATGGCTCATTAGGGTAACTGGGTATGCAACAAAAGTGGGAAAGGGTAGTGAACTTTGCACTTTCTTTCAACACTAAAATGCTGAAGAGAAATGTGAAAGAGAATCTTCATAATTTACTGGATCAAAAAGCTTACCAAATGTGATTCATCTACGAGAGTGATAATTAACACAAGAGCCCACATGTTCCTAACTGGGAAACAGACTGATTTTCCGCAGCTTTTCACTTTCTGATTATCAAAGCATGTTCAAGCCACTTCATATCCAACACCAGTTAGCTTTCCCATTTGACCAAGCAATTTGCTTGACAAAAATTGATATTTTATATAAATGTTCAAACTACGATTTATTTTAAGCAATTATATAAGTTCTCATTTTATATGAGCGTAAAGAACAATATGAAAAGCTGTGTAAATACTTCATGGTTTTTGTAACATATTATTTAGCTTATCTGTATTACAATTTTGTCATTGTACACTTAAAAAAGTAAACACATTTTTTTATTCTCTAGTCCGATATTAAAAATTTGAATATTCAGTTTAAAAACGAGATATTTATTTTATTTTCTCTCTATCAATTTATTATATTTTATATTTTTGTAATATAGTAATCTCTTTATACAAATAATGTGAGTATAATCAGTTTAATAACATTTTATTTTTTCAAATTTAAATTACAATGGTGCATAAGTAGTATGAGTAAAATTAGTTTATTAATATTTTACATTTTTCAAACTAAAATTATTATTACCATAATGTTAGTATTTTTAAACTAAAAAATATTTTAAACTACATTTATTATTATACTCTATCTTATTTTAATAAATTAAAAAAATGTGTTTTTACTATTATAAAATATAATTATGGCGATGGTGTTATAATTTTAAAATATAAGTAAGAATAAAATAAGGAACTGATTTATGTATATGAAATGAAGAAATCCTGTTATATAATTATAGATTTTTACAACTAATCTAGTTGGCCCGATGGGCTACCTACGAATCATCAACAAAGGTCAAATTTCCAACTAGCAAAACTTTGATTTTTATGATTAATAAATGAATTGAAAAATTTTAGTTACAACTGACTACTTGCGTCACCAACTCTAACTTGTCACAGAAATGACATTTTCCCAAGTATATTCATTCATATAAAATGAGACCACAGAGCAAGAAAAATAACTAAAAACAAAGTGAACCGTAGTCACGTAGAAGTTGCAGAATATGAGTAAAATTTACAAAAAGTGGGGAGAAGCAAAGGCAGTTCAACTAAAATGAATGTAGGAATTCAGATATTACTAAATTAAAAAAAAAAAAATGGTCTATGTTGTTTGTACAGGGTTCTCGGATCGTTCCGTTTTTTTTTTTTTTTGTGTTTTGTTTTGCTTTATCAAGAAGAAGCCGCCAAAAAAAATTATTTCTTATTTCATTTCGTTCAACTTCCTCATGACTCGTGACTAGCGTTTTAAAATAACTGCTGACTATGACAGATTAAGTTACCTACAACGTTATTAAAGAAAGAGAAACAGTCTTCAACCATTTGAATATAATTTTATCATTGAATATATTAAATTTGGCTAAAACTATAAATCATTTTATCAACTTTTTTAACACTTTCAACAATTTAACAATAGTTTATTGCTTTCATCGATATAAGTGGAATAGATTAACAGGCAAGTTTTGGATTCTCATCCATATACCTCACGCGTGGATCGCAGAAGCAACAATTAATTGTCTTTAGCACAAGCACAAACAACAACAACATTTAGTTGTCTTTAGCACAATTTAACATGGATCACTATTTAATATCCAAACAATGTACTTGAGAAATTCTTTACCCACAGAAAAAGTTCTTTCTCCCCTAACATTTTCCAATCGATACGACGCGACATGATGATATTATTATACCCGACACGATACTCGATACTCGTTACAATTATACCGATATTCTACACAATATTTGCCACAAATTATAACCAATCCTTTATTACGACTCGATTGTCAATACAGCTTATGTTTGACAAATTATTTATAAATTTAAAACACGAGCATATCAGACTTCAGGTCAGATCAGTCAGTAACGGATTATAACCACATTTAACAGACCAACTTCATGCTACGAATCATGTTATGAAAGACATGCATCTACGGTCATAAACATACAACACATGTTGTAAATTAAACAAATTATCCATACAAATTATTCACATCTATTCATAATAGTCATTTCAATATATCCAAATTGTTAAAGAAAAAAAAAAAAACATACATATATCTACCCATCCTTGACTATCTTCCCATCTACAACCAATTTGAAAGGATCTAACTCGTCCATATCCAATCCCAGGTTGACAACTTTACTCAAGAACCCCGAAAATCTAACAACACATGTCTAGGCAATATCATCTTTTGCAGCGTCCAGTGCCCTTTCCAAATCAGGACATTTCTTTCCGGCCTCTTTAACAGTTCCTCCTTAATCTCAGTCTCTAACTGTTTCCTCTCTTTCACGTTCACTTCCAATACATGTATTTGATGTAGTTGACCTCTTAGATCGTTAACATCTGCACTCATTTGTTAAAATTTTCAAACCTCAACCTAGCCATCTCATTCTCCGTCTCCCAGCCCGTCCGCTCACGTTCCATTCTGCCAACTATGCTTTCTGATGGTGCATCTCATTATTAATCAGAAGGGCTATTCTCCTGTTAAGCAGCTATGCAGATCGATGTCAAGTAAATTATGAACTCGGTTATGTTTCGAATAGCGGTAGGAAGAGCCACAAAAGGACTTGCTTTCTCAGACCGGTTTCCCTTGTCAACCAAACCCCAATTCTCCCCAACTACCACCTCGGGAGCCCGACCGTCCAACTCTGATTTCTCCAAATCTTGGACTTTATCTGACTCCACTTGAATAAAGGATCTACATAGCTAGCTAAACAATACAATATCCCTTGTTGTTATTTTTGAGATGCGACATTGGGAAGCACAATTGACAGAAAGGAAACGTGAGCTGGATCGGAATACTGAGAATAAGATAGTCAGGTTAAGGGCTGTTGTTGAAAATTTTCAACAAATGAGAGCAGATGTCAATCTAAGAGGTCAACTACATGTGTGAAGGTGAAAGAGGGAGACCGGTCTAACCGAGCTTATTAGAATTTTAGTTCTCTTGAGTTGTCACCCTGGAGACTAGATATGGTCAAGCTGGATCCTTTCAAACAGTTGTGGATGGGAAGATAGTCAATGAGGAGTAGATAATATGAATTGTTTTTTTGTATGAACAACTTTAGATATTTTGTAATGACTAAATGGATAGGTGTGAACAATTAACGTAGATGACTAGAGCATGTCTTTTATAAGATGTCTTTTATATCGTCTCAATTGTAGTCATGGAAAATATCGTGTCATTTGAAGTTGAGTTAATTGTAGTCATCATGCTCTCTTAATGACCTCCTCTTGTTGTCACTTCACCTCCTACATTGCATAAGTGATTTGTGCCAATGTCAAGGTGTCCTTCTCACTATTTAGCTGGTCCTGATTGTCCATCATCCTTGAACGTTTGGTGTTGAAGGCTCCTCAGTTTGAAGTGTGGTAATGTTTTAGGTTCTACGTCAAAATGTTATAGAATTTTGAAATCTCTTAATCCTAGAACAATACTATTTGATTTCAAGAATTTAAATTGCATTTACTTTTTCATCCAATACCTTTTTTAAAGTATACAGAAAATAATTGACAAATATTGTAAAAGAAATGTAACATTACTTGACGATTAGTTACAACTTACAAAAGCTACATTCAATCTAACCAAGTAACTACACTTGCCTACAACAGATGACAGCTAATACAAAGGTCCATGTAAGGTGGGGAAGAAAAAATGATGGTATATTAGTAACATAATTTAACACTATTTTTATTAGGTTAGATCTCACTAAATAATGGGAGTTTATTTTACACAATGATGTCAGTCTTAGTCCCAATTCAGCGGGCTTTTTCTATTTTGAAAGTAATGGTGAAAAGAGTATCAAATCTCTAAAGATGAAATTGACGAGTGAGTTACAGAGGATTACCAAGATTTTACATGGTCAGAAATTATTATTGGATGACTTCTCTGGACACAATTCTAGAGAAATTTATCGCAAATGATAATGTCAGCTAAAATATACTTCAAAGAAGGGAATTGTTGGAAATAAAGAATTTCCAACATTCCAACCCACCTCTCTAATCTTCTGTACGGTAAATAAAGGCAGGACGAGATAAAAGAAAAAAAAAGAAGATAATTTATGTGCTGCGCATAGAGGGATAATTTATAAACAAAATGATCAAGTCATGAGATACCGAATACGGATCCACTAGCCTCTACAACCTATTTACAAACTCATTGCGGACAGATTTTGTTATAACTCTCCAAATCCCAAACCAAGTCATGATTACGTGATTTATTACCGCAATGGTACAATGTTTTCAAGTGCTTCTTTTTGGTCAATCAAGAAATACTTGCCACCATGATTTAAAAATTAGAACAAGTGTGCAAATACCAATGCAATTATGGCAAAAAAAAGAAGGTAGAACAAAATCGAACTAGTTTCCAAGAAGTGATGTCAAAAATGCCAAAACTGCAATAATAATTATGATATTTAGAAAATAGTTTGACTGTAGAGGCTTATCTGGGCTTCCACCAATGGCCTCATATTCAGCCCGAATCTTCTGCTTCATAGCGTCAGACAGCTCTCTCTGCAATTCAAATAGGAACACTATTGAATTTTATTCCTTTCTTCTTCATTTAAAACTTCGATATTTTACATGTGATATCACTTGATTTGAAAATAGCTTCTTCTTGTATTACTAAATGATACTGGCACAAGAAAACATGACACTTGTTTTTATTCCTGCACCAAACCAGGAAAAGTAAAACAATGAACACAATATGCAAATATACATCCTATGCAAGTCTTTTACTGAAAGGTATCCAATATATTTTATGTAAGCATCAACACATTGAATAGTAAGATTTGATATGTGCAAAGATAAGAACCTTTCCACTGGAGTACTTGGCTGCTACAAACTTCTCTGCCCCTGCATTTGGAGAATCACCTATCACAATGCCCTGACAAAGAGATAGCAAAGAAAATTTCTTACTTGGTGAGTAGGCGAATTATCTTGTTATTTACTTGAATATGCACAGACATGAAAAGAAAAAGGTGACGAAGTTAAGTCCACAAGAACTGAATCTCAAGGTCAATGGTTTACACGAGCATAGATATCATAATTTGTTAAACATAGTAACTGTAATTCAAATTGAACAGACCTCTGGAGGATCAAATTTGGCTCCAAGGTTGCTAAGTTTTGCATGGGCTTCAGCATAATCTTTAAAGAATGCTTCCTGATCTTCGGCATATTTCTCAGCATATACCTGAATATTTCATAAAGGTATTGTCACAACTTTTTGCATTGAATTGTAATAGCAATGAAATGAAATTCCAGCTACATTACCCTGAAGGATGGGTCCTCAAAAAGAGCAGCATCAGTTGGTAATACTAATAGATCTTCATCCTTTTTTTCTTTGATGTCCTGCATGTAACCACAATAACAAAAAACAAAAAGGTAAATTCTTGCATGCTCCTCTTTCCTCTAACACTCTCCCTGATAGAACACCCTACCCCCTCCCTGCAAAAATAAAAAAAATATTATTGACCTTAAAGTAAGAGTTGTCAAATTTCAACCATTGCGCAGTCCAAGATTGTCCTCCAGGTGCTCCTGGCCCATCTTTCTGTAGAGTGAGAAATACATGTGAATTTCCTGCTGTTTTATTGAGTATAACTGAAAACTAGTTGATTATCATTTATCAGCAAGACCTCACTAGCTAAAATTCAGGCTAGAGATGTTATAAATTAATATGTAAGTGTGCCTTGAATTTCCCCTCCATCATGTATTCATTTCAAAGTGCAAAAGATAAACAAGTAATTGTTCTTATAACAGGCCAAGAAAGAATTAAGTCACAAATTAGAGCAAGTCCAAAACTTTTATTTGTAAAGTACAATCAATATTTAAATCATGAACTTATCTTGAGACTGTTTGTTTGTGGTTAAAAAAAAAGTAATTGTAAAAAAAGCAGAAAAAAAGAAAGCTGCTCATATTTTGAGAAGCAAAAGATGCTTCTAAAACGCAGTTCTGTTTTTTTTTCCTGATCTTGTTTTTTTTTAATAATTTACCCAAACATGTAAAAATTGCTAATAAGTGATTATTTTTTGACAAAAAAAGTTCTTAAAAAAGGTTTAAACAAACAGATCTATTATTTAAAAAGCCTCAAAGTAAGGCATAGGTGGGACTTGGAAGCCTTGCAGAAAACACTACTGAATGTTTGGAGATCGGGGAAAATCACAGTAACAAAGAAAGTCAGAAAATTGACATGAATCTAGAGTATTCAAATATTTGCAGCACACATTATCTTTTCATCAATCATTTAAAAATAATATACCGTATATTTAGTCTCAGGCTTTCCCCAACCACTTCGATCTGGTCTAGACCGCCCCAGTGTGTGTGCACCAGATAATGCCACAATTTCCTGCAGATACAGTAACTTAATAGTCAAATTTGACAAATGACTGAAATCCAATTTACAAACTTGATCCTTATGGAACACAGAGGAAATTACCTTGTCATTCAAACCCATTCGGTAGAAAACTTGACGCAAATGATCAGCAGGTGAAGGGGGGCCGGCATCTAAACACCAAAATTATCTAAAAGTTAGTAAACTGACATTGTTAGAAAAAGGAAGTGCTTTCAATATAGAAAAAACTATCATAAATAAGGTCAGAATTATCCTGTTGAAAGGCAGAAAAGAATGTGTCATCTAAAAAGACACAATTTTAGTTTTCAAATTGAAAACATCTACATTAACGTATTAGCTATCTTCAAGAATATAAAATTTTAAAATGTGACCAGCTCTTGAGTGTTGACTGACTACCAATTAATATAAGAATCTTTCTGTTGTTTTCATAGTTCAATTCCTAGTCAATGATCAATAAAGCCCTATAAATGCAGCTGTCATAACCCAACAGGTCCAAAAAAAAAAAAACAAAACAACAAAATCCAAATCATACTTTTGTTTGGCTTGGGTAGGTTTTGAATTTTGGAATTTTTCAGTTTAGGCATGATTATGTGTAGGTTAATAATTTTTTAAACCAAACTACTTACTAAAGGAAAGATACCTATTATTGGTTATGAAAGCATGACATACCAGAGTCATAAGAATGGATTAATAAAATTTAGAAAAGCAATTCACTCATTTCTTATTAGCCAAAGAATGTTAGTATTATTTTATTTTTACTTAACTATTCACTCAATTTTCAAAATATATTTTATAGTTTGTAATTAGTTTATAATTTGGATTTTAACTAGTTTAACATTAAATTGTTGATTGTTAAACGGCAATGTGACATAGTGGCAGAATGTATAAGCAAACCTTTATTCTAGTCTCTGAAAGTCCCCTTTCTACAGCAATCAGTTTCCAAAAACATTGGTGTATCTTAATGTAAATGAGAAGTAGGGAAAATTTTTATTTAAATATAAAATGGTTGGTTTAAACCTTCTATTTTGCTTTTGAACAAGTTCAGGCCCAAAAACCAATTGAATAAGAACTAATTTATATTTTAAAACTGCGCATCATTGTATCAAACCGGTTGATTAAGGTTCTCAATACTCTGTTTAGTCGCACCCCTTCCTATTTGATGTTTTGAAAGAAGAATCACTGATAATTTTTCCATCCAATACTCACTAATTCAATAGCAGTAACTTTCATCCTTTGGACGATGTGAAAAGTTGTTGGTTTGGGTTCAGGTCTAAATCAATCCATGTACACCCCCTATACCTATAATTGATTGATAATCATTGTGTTAATCCAGTTAAACCTACAACTGGATGATAACTAGCGTTGTAATATGCAGGGGCATCTTTGCATGATTAAAAAAATGGATCACAACCCATTGCATATTTCCTCCATAAAATTTCTTTTTTATTATAAACAATAACCAAACAAGGAGGAATCCCCCATCCCCAAATCAAAAAACACTGGAGTCTTCAAACAAGCAAATGACAATTCTGCTAGTAGTCGTTACTAGGAATAAGTAATATGCATCACACATAATATATAACCACAACGAAAACAATTTATTAAATAACCACACTTTTCTTGCACTTTCAAATGATAAAAGAATTTATTAATAGATGACTTATAAATGAATAGCTATCTGTTTCTTCACTTTTTGTTTTCCCAAAATTAACAGTAGATTACTCAATCCAGGTCCTGCAGAGAACTGAGAAGCAAAGACGAGAGTTTTCTATAACAATTAAATTCCCACAGGATATACGGTTATTACCAGGAAGTCTCCCTTCTTCAGGGCATTGCTCAGGTTCAGATACATCTACTCTTCCATATTTCATAGGGAGTTTTGGGCCTCCAGCTTCCTGAAATTCCAGAAAGAGATAAATGTATCATTCAATATATTCAAATAAACAATAGTCAGTCTTGAAGCTAAATTAGGACTGAGACAACCTCCACAGCTGTAGCACCGGCCAACTGAAATAAGTCTGCATATGTCACACCAGAGTATTTGTCTTTGATTGGCTGAAGAAGTTTCAATGCATTTACAAGTCCTGATATGGCAGTTCATCAGGGAATATTACCCCATGAGCAAAATTTGGAAATAATCAATATTCAATGAATCATTACCAGCATTGGCTGCATGTTTCAGCTCAACTTCAAATCTTAAGCTACCATTAGCTCCACCTCTTTGTGGCCATTCCTCAATATTCTTATTATAAGTACCAGCATCATGCCATCCCAAACGAATCTATCACATTGAAATTTATGTATGTAAATTATTGAAATAAAAAGAACTCATCAATGAAATAAACAAAAAATATGAGATAAATTCAAGTCCCATCTATGGTAAAAATCAAAATTACATAGATCCAAGCGTATGCAGCAGGTATAAATCATCAACCCAGACCAGAAGACATATGGTATGTTCAGCAGAGTTCAAAATCTAGTCTAACTTAGTCACTGTCAAGTTTATTCACTATCCTTGACAAGTTCAGTTCAGAAGTCAGAAGTCCAAAAGGACCCATAGAAAGCTAAAACATTGCAAAGACTATGTTTAATAGGGAACTAGATAATTTTCCTTAAGAATAATCCAGTAGTTATGATTTTTAACTTTGACATATGTAATGGGGGGACGGGGTTTATGAGGCCAGGTGTCCTCAGATCCTATGTACAAGGGAAGCTTGTGTTTTATTATGAATAAAAAAGGGAACCAGAAGAGTTAATTCATTCAAAATTCCTTCTACTTTGTGTCTCTAATTGGGAACTTGCTGAGCTACAGCATTTTTAGATGAATGAATCTATCAATCTCTGATGGTCAGTCTGATGCAACAAATATCCTACATCACCATATCATTGCGGCAAAACAGGTGACATTTTCATTTTCTACTCTTTCTAAACTATCATCAAATCAAATATATAGGTTATTAGAAATAAGCTGAGCCAGGTCAGGTTTTGGCAAACCTGGGTCTGACCTTCATTAAAAATAAAGCTTGAACGTTATCTATTTTCTTGTCCTATGCCATTTTTCAAAAGTCTGGTCTGACCTACATTAAAGTTTGCCCTGAACTCTGAGCATGTTAAAAGCATGTTTTACTATAAGGTCTTTAAAACTCTGGTAAGCTTATTGTATTATTGACCTAAGTAGGCTAGTAAGTAATTAGAATCTTCTTATATATATATATATATATATATATATATAACATTATAAATTAAATTAATTAAAAACCTATGCTTAATAAGACTGTGAAACAAGATATAAGTTTATCTTTTAGTAATTTTATGAAATTAAAGGTTTGAATAAGGTTAATATGTTTAGTAATCAAGGAAAACATTATAATACCTTATAACAAACTTAATATAATAATAATAATCCTAAAAACAAATTAGGATTTATATTTACTTTTATAGACCGGTCTATTAGATCTAAAAAACTTTTTGAATGAATTAAGGTCTGACCTTCTTAGGTAAATACGTTTCTATAAGAGTCTAAACTGGACCTATTTTCTAAAATACTTGATCCGGACCTAATGTAGGTAAAGCTGTAAGCCTTATCGAGTAGCTTGACGTATTTCCACCTACAGTTATAATCAGAATCTTGCATCCACCGCCAATCTAAGTGGGAGAGGTTTCGCATCCCCAAGTTTGTAGTGTATCATAAACAATTCTGCATCGAGTAACAAAAGACTAGGAAAGGACAGCTAATTAAATCTTTACGGATACGATGCCGAGTACCTATCGACCACACACACCTACCTAATTTTTTAGAAGATCTCAAACACAGTTTTCAAATTGATTAAGTTAAGTAATTGACTTATTATACTAATTAAAATTATTAAAACCGTCTTGGACACACTACTAAAGCCCATCAATATAGACCCATTAAAATATTATAAATAAACAAATTTTAAGGTATATATAATTCATTGGTTAAGTATTTACTGTAACATCTGTATCTCATTTAACTTGAGTGCTGAGGTATCTTTGGGTAAGGAAGTCACACCTCCTGCCAGTCAAGTGTGCACTGAAGAGAATATCACAGTATACGAAGGAAGACATCTTGAACTAACGAAAGAAGATATTTAGACTTGAAGGGAGATAACATCTCGATCTTGTAAGGATTATTTAGCCTAAGAACAAGATATTTAAGGCAGCAACTCAAAACTCAACGATAAAATCAAAACTCTAGATCCCGAAATAACAATTTAAGAACCTAAGAGGTCTATATCTACATTGATAGAAGATACTGTTTCATGGAAATAGCGCTTGCGATCATTATGTTTAAAGAAGCAAATTATAAAAGCCTTCACCAAAAAAAAGAGAGTACGCAAGTGTATGAGCAGAAATAACTCGTGAAAAAGGAAATAGGAAAAAAAAAAAAACGGTGGCGACCTAATTTTATGAATGATTATTTAACGTCTTCTTTTTTCCTTGCATAAATAGATGATGATTATCTAACAATAACATTTTCACCAATCGAATAGGTATTTAAAAGCACCGCAAAATCCAGAGACGATTCAATTCGATAAAATTTCAGAAAAATGAAAGCTCGCATGCTTCTTCATTTTTAACAGTAATATAAGGAATTAAGGAAACGCTAATTCAAATGCAATACAACAGCCAACACATGGAGATCGTTCAAACGAAAAAACAATACAAGCAAGAAACGAACATTACCAGAATAGGATGACAGAACTTGGACCTGAGAAGCTCCTTGATATCTTCTCTAGCGCTCTTCAACTGATCAGGATCAGACGCAAAGGACTTCGGTGCCGACACCGTTCCATATCCTCCACTCGAAACGCGAACCTCCGCTCTCCGCTGAGATAAAAAACATCGCGTCGGTACATGAAGACGAACTCAAAATGAAGAAACAATCAGAAGCGCAGTAATTAGCGAGAGAACGAACCGAAACCTGATTGAGAAACAGGTGCGAAATGCGAGGAGAGGAGCGCAAGCATTCGAGCGAGGAAGAAGAGGATGAGAGGGAGAAGAAGGCGCGAGACGAGGAGGAGAGTGAGACGGAGGGAATGATGCGAGCGGAGGCGGCGCCGCTGAAGAGAGCCATTGTAGTTGGAGAGTGTTGAGATGGTAAAGGCAGTGATGAAGGAGTGCAGAACACGCGCTCTGCCATTTGGTTGGGTCGCGCTTTAAATAATATCTATATTATTTATTGTTTTGGTTTATTTCGTTGCCTCTCCTCTCGTTTCGGATGATGATGTGCCAGATGCCACCCTTGCCAGTGAGTCACGATTTAGAGTAACCTTCGATTGGGGAGTAACAAACGGTGTGCTTATGTCCGCTCTATATACAACTCGCAATTCCACCTACTGCCCCATCAAATCCCCAGGAGGCGAATCGTTTCACGTAAGGTGCTATAGTCTCTAAACATTATTAAAATATGTCAATATAAAAGCTAAATTGATCAATGTTCAATATTTTTGTAATTATTTTAAGGATTATATACAAGAGAGTTATTTGTAATATACTAAATTGTTAGTTTCCTGCATGATTTGTTTGTATAAAGGATTATATATAACATTTTTTTAAGCTTATAATATGTATAAACACCTTATTAATTAAAAAAATGTTTGTTATTTATAATAAAGAGTTTGTTTCGTACTATCAATAATGATGCTTTTAGCAATATATTACAGTTAGAAATGTCAATATTTGAGAAAGGTGTTTTTATCACATTTGATTATTTTAAAAATATAAAATAATTGAAGTAAAAATAAAATGTACATATACATTAAAAATAGCTACTTCTTTCCTCTTAAAAAAACTGTTCACATGTTTTGAAATATATATATTGATCCTTGCTCATAGAAATAAAAATGTAGAAAAAAATAAAATAAAATGGAAACAAAAACCTAGGAATTAAGTTAATAAAAAAGTAAATTTTAAAAACTTTAAACTAGCATAAAAATATAATATTTTCATCTTTATATTTCTAAATGTACTTTAAATATGTAAATAAAACTCATTCTCCTATTTGACGAACAGAAAAGCTGGGAAAATTGGAGAAGTTAACCCCAAAACATTCCACATCAAATAAATGTTTTGTGGGCAAATTAGGGTTGATTTGAGAATAATAAATAGAATAAAATAATGTAAAAAAAAATCTTAAGTTAAACTTTTATCAATAAATGGAACAAATTTTTTGGTCCAATTTATACTATAAAAACAAACAAAACTTACGCGTGTGAAAGGAATCTTAATTTAGAAGGCAATTCTGATAAACATAGTGAAAAATAAAATAACAATGTTTGTTTTTAGAGCTTTAAAGATTTTGTTTTTTTCTTTTGACCAAACAATACCAGTGGAATGTTAGGTGTGTGTAAAAATTACTTTTAGTCAAAGATCCCTATAAATTCGAAGTCCTACTAAACTGTTTATATTCTTGCAGCTAACATTTCCTATTGTTTTATCTACTCATTTTCTGCCATTTCCTTTGAGTTTTTATCATATACTTTACTTTAATTTACTATTGTTATTCGCTTACGTTGTCGTCGTTAAAATTTACGTTTTCTACAAGATCTATAATTTCATGAGATTGGAATTTGACTGCTGACATAAAAACATCTCTTTTCATATCTTCCGTTATAATTCATAAAGGTCTGTTCTTAATAGTTTCACGTACAGTAGCTCTTAAACTATCCTGCTTGTGTTGTGCCTCGTAATAAAAATTAGTCATTTGTGGATCATTATTCTAATTGTATCACTGATTAGTATTTTTCTTAATAAATATTTTTGTAAATTAATATATTAAAAAAATTTGTCTTTATTAAATAAAATGAATAAAAATATATTTAATAATACCAAAACTAATTTACATTATTATAATATATATTCATACGTCTTGTAACGAAAAGATAATTTATATATATTTTATTTTTTTATCTCATTAAATAAACTATTTTTTAAAAATAAATGTGTGATGGAATAAAATTCAAAATATATAATACCTTTAACATAGATGCATATATAATTTCTCTACATTTTCTAATATTATTTTCATGTTCTCATTCTACAAATTAAAGAAAGGGAAAATATAAAATATTAGTAAGTTATTATACTATCATTTGTTTGATATTGTATTCAATAATTTATGTTATGTGATGATAAAATCTTTATAAATTATGGATGAATATGTTTAGGAAACATTATTGGATTTAAGATATTTGTGCAACAATAAATAGTCTGTATCCAAATTGTAAATAGTTTGTGCCTACAAATTTTAAATTTATAATATATATATATATATATATATATATATATATATATATATATATATATATATATATATATATATATGAATTTGGACGCTCAATTTCTTCTAGATGTAAAAGCATTCTCATCTTAACCCTTTTATTATGGATCATGGAGTGTATGATCAAGTCAGTAAAAATATTATGTATGGTGAAACATATTTCTGTAAATTGTTTTATGAATTTTTTTTAAAGATTTATTTTGTTTTTGTTTGAGTCTCAAAGGATATTAATGGGAGTTGGTTCAATGTATTTTTATGATTATAAAGTTAATATGAAATTTCTAAGTTGGAATGTCAAATGATTCCATTGAGCAAAAGGTAAGTCATAAAACTATTTGAATTTTATTTCTTTTAATGTTATAGAATTTTTTTTCATAAGAAAACATCAATCTCATTGAATACATTATTAATATGTGTTAAATAATTATATATGTTTATCTAGATATTCTCCTCCTCTAAATTGTGGGGTTTTCTACCGGACAAATAATCACTCTATTAAAATCCTAGGAATTAAGAGTTTCCGAGTTCAATTTTGATGGTTATCAAACATAATCAAAATCATATATTTGTGTACTTGTACAAGTTTAGTCTTATCATCTTTTTTATTGAACTCACCTTAGGTCTCTTTTAAGAGGTACTGATTTGATACCATGATTGAAATTGATATCTCAATAAAATATAGTACGTTGAGGAAGATCTTGTTAAGGTGCATAATTATTTTTCTATTCTTTCAATTTGTTTTTTAAAGCTTCAATGTGTTTCTCTGAAGCTATATATGGACAATTGCTCTATTTTTTTTATATTGTTTTCATATGAGATTTTAAGTTGTTAGATATATATTTGACGTTTATCTTACTTCATAAAGTGATAGCTAATTATATTCATGTCATAAATTTTTTTTCAACAACTTCTATAAGGAAGAGAAATCATCTATACATCTCAGATCTAGTTTTTATACTAATAAGAGATGAATCATTTATACATCTCAAGTCGATTTTAATCACAAACACTTATAAATCTAAATCTACATGACTAAACTCTATTAAATACTGAAGAAAATAAGAAATCCATTTGTGAAAATACTTTTGTTAAATTAGTATAAAAATATAAGTATAATAAAATATAAGTATAATAATAACAAATAATGAAAATTAACTTATCTATAAAAAAATTAGAATAATCCTATTTATAATAATATCTTATTGTGATTTTTCAATAATAATTTATATTTATTTTAAATTAATTATTATATTTTTAATATAATATTATATATAACTAAATAATTTTTATTATATATTTTTATCGTCATATATTTTAAAAAATAATTAAAACATATTTTCATTAGACATAATAAATATAATAAATACGAAGCATGATTTTAAACTCATGAATTTGAGACAAATACTGACTCTCATAGGAATCGCTATATTTTATTCACCTTAATAATTTCCTTACCCAACCAAACAAAGAGTTAAGTTGGAAACAGAATTACATAGTAAACTTTTTACAAGAATAAACGAGTCTAAATCAAAAGTACATCACATTTTACATAGTGCTTATAAAATCATGCATTCCAACCAAAACAAATTCACGCAAATCACTCATTCTAATTCTATTTACATAAGTAGTTTCCCTACGAAAACCAAAAGAAGAGTTAAAGTTGAAAACAAAAATATAATAAACTTTTAAACAAAAACAAATAAATCTAAATCAAAATTTCATCACATTTTAATATTTCCAAATCCACTCTGACAAATCAAACCAGCTATTGTATAAATCAACATATTTCTATTTACGTAAATAATTCCTTTACGAGGATAACGTTAGAAGTAACACAAAAGTGCATCATAATTTTTCTTTTTTAAAGTCTAAATCAATAATACATCACATTTTATACTATTTATACATTCACACATTTAAATCAAATCACATAAATTCTCTTACAAATTACTCCTTCCAAACAAAATGAAGAATTAAAGTTGATAACCAAATTTCATGATAAACTTCTAAACGATTGTAGATAAGTCTATCAAATTTTACACAAACAAAATGTGTTCAAATGGTTGAAAATGAATTTTGGACGGTTACGCTCGGACATGGAAATATAGATAAATGAACCAATTCCATTTCACGGTAGAATTGCAAGAAAATCAATCTTCTGAGCCTTAATGCTGTCGTCAATTATTTTTATTTTATTTTATTATAAAAAATAAATCAATGCAAATAAGGTAACTCAAAGACAACATTATAGATTTACTATTTTATTTTTTTCAAGAAGAAAGCTAAAGAAAAAGATTGTATGAGCTAGGGGGTGACGATATTTAAGTTTCCACATTTTTCAAAATGGTATGGTCAATCGAAACTTTATTTTGAAAGATCTACTTAACAGACATTATTATTAAGATACCGAATTTTCTTGTTGTACTGGAAATTTTTATGTTCTGAAATACCGAAAGAATCAAAAGAATCATGACCTAACCCAATCTTGTTGTATTGAAAACAAAATAAAAGTTTTGTACGTCTTGTCTAGTGTGGTCCCAAGCCCATTGAAGTGCGGGAAGTTCGGGAAAAGTTCAACGCATGTCGTTCCCAGTAAGTAAGCCATTACATTCACGAGTGATCATGCAGACTCGACTTCTACGTAGAGATCTACTCCTTTTAAAACGAGATAACTCATCAATTAAGTTTTCTTTCATATATATTTATTTATTTTTGTATAATTTTTTCTTTTTATAATTAATTTTTCACAAATAACTCATAATTTTTATTTAAAATAATTTAAAATATACTTATAA